GATTCTTAACTAAGCATTTTATATGAATTTAATCTTCTTAATAGCCACATAAAGTAAGTTTGACAGAGTCTATAGATGCAGAAACAAAGGTTCAGATAAGAGAAGTTATTTGCCCAAAGTCACACAGCTAGTAATTGGTAGAGGTGGGATTTCAATCTACAATCTTCCCTGACTCTCTTAACCATTGTATATACTGCCCTGAAGTAGAACTGACCATGCCATTTCTTTGATTAGCTCTTCCTAAGAATTCAGGCAAAGTTTCCCCCTGGAAATCCAATACCTTTAAAAAAAAAATATATATATATATATATATATATATATATATATATAGTCATGAGCTATAGAATAGAGGTGGGGGTGAGGCAGGATGAATAGTGGTATTCCTGGTTATGAGTTCCACAGTTTCATCTGATTGTGTAACTTCAGCTAAAGTCTCTTTCTTTTTGTCAGAGTATTCCTGTCTATGAACATGGGATTTGAAATTTGCCACAAAGGAAACAGAGAAGTGAAAGAAAGTGAAAATACTGATGTGAAATTGAAGGGGAAATATCTTGAGTTCCATAGAATGATGACATTATTTGTATATATATAAATTTAAGGTATTCTTAATGCTATGGTGATAATTACTACTTTGCAATGAATTAAGAACTGATGTGGGAGTTAGTTTACAAGGTCATCTTGGTAAATGAAGATACAGTTGGTCCTCCTTATCCATAGGTTCTGCATCCATGGCTTTAACCTTCCATGAAATGAAAGTATTTAAAAACTATAAAAGCATCTGTACCAAACTTATACAGACTTCTTTTTTTGTCATTATTCCCTAAAGAGTGCAACGTAACAACTATTTACATAGCATTGACTTTGTGTTAGGACTTATAAATAATAATCTAGAGGTGATTTAAAATACATAAGAGGAGCTAGGCTTGGTGGTACATGCTCATAATTCTAGCACTGGAGAGTTGGAAGCAGAGGGATCACAAATTCCAGACCACTCTGAGCTACAAATTGAGTTCAAGTCCAGTTTAAGCTGCATAATGAGACCCTCCCTCAAGAAACCAAAGGCTGGGGATGTAGCTCAGTTGGTAAAGTGATTGCCTATTATGTGCGTGACCCTAGATTTGATCCCCAGCATCACACGTAAAAGAAAAAATCACAAACACACACACACACACACACACACACACACTTGTAGGTTCTATGCATATACTTTGCCATTTTCTAGAAGTGGCTTGAGCATCCCAGGATTTTTTATGGGGGGTGGTGTCTTGGAATTGTGCCCCCACGGATACTCAGGGATGATTGAAGTTGGAGAGCTCCTCTGTGTGCTTCAGAGCACACAGTTCTGTTTGTGAACTGGGCTATCCATCACTCCATTGCTGGTATTTTCAATGGGACAACAATCTGAGTCTGTACTGAGAGAACTATTTACAGGTCTCCTGCATTTGGCCTTTTCTCACAGTGGGTGAACTCTGTGGATCAGATCAGCATTTGTATGAATGGCTACGAGGGAGTGGTAAGCTTAGTAGATATAAGGCATGGGGCCCAGAGAGGATAAAGATGTCATCTAGACTTCCTCAGGATTGATCCTTTTCTGCTGTGATATTGAGAGCTGTTATAAGCACAGGAGTTGGTGGCTGTCAATTCCATCTGCCTGTGCTTCCCCATGTTCTTGATGACAGTGGTTTTATGGGAACTGAACAAGTCTAATCCTGTCTTCCCTGGATTCACACTGGCTGAAGAAACTGTATGAGGGTGTTAGAATTCAGTGCCTTTGTGTTGAGAATTCTCCTTTTCCTAGAGCTGCCTTAAAATCCTCAGCCTAATCAACTGTTTCCTCTGGTGCTCCCTGGTTATTAGTTTCTTGTGGTGTCTGTGGGAAATAGAGAGGAGGCCAGAGGGAGCTGTAGCAAGGAGAGAAGGGTATGGAAATAGCTCCATGCTATAGCACTGTATTAGTAGTGCTTGGCTAACTACTAATCATACATACAGATCATATTAATCTGGCAAAATCCACAGGTGATAAACAGTTAGATGTTGATAAGCTTATTGATAAACAGAGCTGTCATTTGCCTTTTCTGGACAGAGGTGGTCTCCAAAGACTTTCAGATCCTATCTGAGCAGATGCTTGTTTATTGACATAGAAATTGCTTTTCCAGATAAACTTTTTAAATCAATGACTTTCATATGTGAGTGCACATTGTACTCCCTGGGGAGCATTATAAAAATGTCTAGTTCCATTCTTAGGGACTTTCATTCAGTAGGTCTGGGGTGGAGGACAGAAATTTGCTTTTTTTTTTTTTTCATTTTTAATTTTTGGTACTGGGGTTGAACCCAGGACTTCGTTCATACAAAGCACGAGTCTGCATTTTTAACAGACATCTTAAATGATTAAAATGATCAATAGACCATAACTCCCCAAAAAGACTGCTTTGGAATTTGGTCCAGTTTTTGAAATAGCTTCTTTCTGCTGTAGTCTGTTTTAATCACCTTCGTCACTGAAGGATTTATTAGCATCTTTATGTTTATTACCTGTTTAATTCTCATAGCATCATAGTAACTAGAGCAGGAACTAGGTGGTTAGCTCAATTTTATTGGGGTGAGGGGGTGGAGGGTGCAATGGAAGCACAGGGAAAGGTAGGTCACCATGAGTCAGAGACAGAGGTGGGAATTGAAGTCCAGCATTGATGACTCTCAAACCAGGCAATTTTCTGAGGCCTATTTTCTCAGCTTGTGAGTTCATATTTAATAATAGTTATTCCTGACATCTCTAATTCATTGTGCTTGGGCAAGCAAATCATACCTGAGTTTTTAAAATAAAATACCTTAGCATATCAAGGCTTTTCTAAGCTCAAGCTAATGTCCAGATGGTGATATGTGTGGAATGAATTTAATTTGCTTTTTTCTTTTGCTTTTGGAAAAAGTCATTTCCAAAGACTTTTTTGAGTAAAGGAAAAGAGTTCTCCTTTCCATGCCAGTAGGAACACCCCCCCCCACCAATCTTCTAACTGATAAAGTACCAAATCAAAAGCTTCTTAGCCCTCTGTCTGTCAAACTTGAGTAGTATCTGGACTCTTTTTTTTTTTTTTTTGACAATGCTGGGGATAATGGAACCTAGGCCTTCAGTGTGCTAGGCAAGGTCTCTACCACTGAGCTCCAAGACCTTGATCCCCAAAATCCTGAAAACTTTCATTCAACTTAAGTTATTAACTGCTACTTAAACTTATACAAACCAGGAATATTATGTTCTTGTATTCATAGTTCTTATACCAGATCAGATTTACAAATGAAATACAAATGAAACCACAAGACTAATGCTATTCAAATTAATGATATTATGGTAATTTAACATGACAAATGATGTCTTTTGCTAAAACTAAACCATTCTTCTTATTTTAACTGTAATATTGCCTGCTAAAATCACCTTTAGAGTTCAACATGCCTGCTCTATGATATCTTAATTTTCTCACTTTTTTTTTTTTTTTTTTGGTGCACCGCTCCTGGAGGTACTGCACTACCAGGTGGATGCGTGGAGTGGACGGAGCAGGCTCCTATTCCATCTCCTAGTCCCAAAAAATCCATTTAACGTATTGTCCTCGGATAGAGGACGTATCAGACATTAAACTGATAAGAACAGATACTACACTTGATCTTAGCCAAAAGGCCGAAAAGCGATCTCTCACTTTTAGAACTACTGAGACAGTACAATTCCATCATGTCATTTTGTTTTCATTTTGTGCATAAAAGCATCTTTTTCATTTTTAGTTATTTATCCCAGAGTAAAAGCAGTACTGAAACATACGCATGAAGCTGGTGAAGTCCCCTGTCAATACTGATTTAAAGTAGTCATTCCAATAACCCAGAATCTATGCAAATCTTAAGTCATCAAAATGAAGATAAAATGAAAACCCTAGGGATATCCACTGACCAAATGTGAGAAAATCAAACCTTCAGTACAGAAGGCGCTATCTACTGTGTTTACTTCCAGAAGGCCATGCTTTAAAAAAAAAAAAAAAAGTCTCCCAAATTGCATTTATTAATTTTAAAGTAAAATTATCATAAAAGTCATTTTGGAACTTAAGATCATCATAAATTCCAGTCCAAAACAAATAAAAAAATGGACATTCTAGTTATTTTGTGCTGCCCTAAAAGGGTAAGTGAAAACTTTACATTAAGTTTTGTAAGCAAAACCCTCCCAGGCCCTCACCTCTGCCTTTGAGGACTTCTGGAGGTGTAGGGAGGCCAATTCAGGCTTTCTTCTACAATAAAGTAACCACCCCGCCCAATATGGAAGATTAAAGCTTGCCCTAGTTTTGCTTGTTGTACTTCTTGCATGCTAAAGAGCTAAAAAATGGGAGGAAGAAAATACAACAGAAGGCACCATTCCAGTACCAAACTGAAAAGAAACACAAAAACAAGAGAACAGCATGTTTTTAACAGCTTGCATGGAAAAAATATTGACTGGGGAGTTTGGACAGCACTGTTCTTTTTCTCTCACCGCCCGCCCGCGTTATTTGTCTTGCAGAGCTGGAGCCAGCCACGATTCTGGCCAGCAGGCTGAAGGAAGAGGTGGAGGGGTTTGGTGGAGGCTTGACGCCCAGGGGAGAAATTAGGGCTGGAGACCCAGGGGCTCAAGGCCAGGACGAAGGCGGGGGAGGTGCTAAAGCCTTCTTCCTCCTGCCCTCGAGCACCGCCTTTGGCCCGGCTGCGTCCTAAGAAGGCACAATACCTATCACTCAGGTAGGTCCCTGAAACCTTCAGACCACAACGAGCAGGATGAACATCTGCCCCTGTTTCTTCCGGCTGGGGAAAGGACGTAGGGGTTCCACTCGCTGTCTCAGCCCATCCTTCTTCTGGGGTTCAGACTTACAATTCCTACATTGGGGGTCGGGCCGAAGGCTCCATCAGCAGGAGAGAGCCTCAATTCCCCCGTCTCCTGGGAGCCCGCGCGCGAGCCTGAATCCCGCCTGCCTGGGCGCGGAGCGGGGGCGGGGCTTGAGCGCGGGGCGGGGCTTGGGCGCGGGGCGGGCAGCGGCGACCAGCAGGAGAAAGAACATGGCGGGCGCGGCGGGGCTCGGGACCGGCCCGGGGGCCGCGGGCGGAGATGGAGACGACTCGCTATACCCCATCGCGGTTTTAATCGACGAGCTCCGCAATGAAGATGTGCAGGTACTGGACTGGGAGCAGGGAGCTGAGGCGGGCCCGGTGGGGCGCGCGGTAGGGGAGGCGGAAGGCCGGCGCCGCGGGGTTAAGGGGTTGGGCGGGGAGGAAAGGGATTGAAAGAGCGGGGCTCGGGGCAGAAACTTGACCCGGAGGCGGGGAAGGGCCGGTGAGGGGCTGTGGTGGTCCCCCGACCCTCCCTAGCCCGGCCCTCGGGAGTCGGCTCGGGCTGGACCGTCCCGGCGGTGTCAGAACCGGCTTCCCGCCGCGCCGGTCCGACCCGACCCGGGTAGTGAGCGGGCGGGAGGGTCGCGGGCCGCCGCGGGGAGGCTGGGCGGCCTGGCTTGGCTGGCGGCCGGCGGCCTTTGAAGTGCAGCGGAGCCTCCCTTCCTCTCGGCGCCGCGCGAGCTTGTTGGGGAGAAGGGATGCGACTTCTGGTTAGCCGGTGAGGACGCGTGTCATCTGCGGTGGGATTCTTCTGAGTTCGCTCTTTCCGAAGTTAGCTCACTTCTTGGGTGTCATCATTCATTCATTTATTTTCTGAGCCCTTCAACGTTTTCTCCGAGGAAACTCTTCCTCTGCCTCAAGAGTGTTACACTGCTCCCGAACTGCCTTGTGAATGAATCTAAACGAAAGGGTTACCCGCATTTTTATACCTATATGCCGCCATTTCACCTGTTTGCAACTTCTGGCTTTTGTCCTTCAGTGCAACCATTTCTTCACTTTGTTCTATCCACTTTGCTTTTTATGAAGCTCCGCCTCAACAGTATTAAGAAGTTATCAACAATTGCTTTAGCACTTGGAGTAGAAAGAACCCGAACTGAACTGCTGCCATTCCTTACAGGTATGTGTCTTTGTCTAAAGAAAGGCATGGGCCATTCGTGGTGGCTCACAGCTTTAATCCCAGCTGCTCTGGAAGGCAGAGCTGAGTTGGGTAGTGGTTGGAGGCCAGCGTGGGCAAAGGTTAGTTAGATTCCATCTCACCAACAAGCAGGTGTGGGGTTGTATGCCTGTAATCCCAGCTACATGGGAGGCATAAGTAGGAGGATTGTGGTCAAGTGTCTGGCTGGGCAAAATAGCGAGATCCTATCTGAAAATAACCTGAAGTAAAAAGGACTTGGCTCAAGTAGTAGAATACCTCCCTAGCAAACACAAGGCCCTGAGCTCAAACCCCAGGACTCAAAAAGCAAGCAAGCAAAAAAAAAAAAAATGGACATCCTTCATTCTGTTTCTTTTCTCAGTGACTTTTGAAACTTTGACTGTTTTATTTTTAGAGTTTGTTACCCAAAGTACCACTAAGTACTAAGTTGAGCCTGTACTTTCTATGCAGAAGAAGCAGACCAAAGTGTTTAATAATGTGCTAATGGGAAGTACTTAGTATGGGAGTATGAATTTCTTAATTCTGTAAAACAGACGCAGGAAGACTGTTGATTAAGAGAAGGAAGAAAATGCTTTTAGGGTTGTGACTGGACCATCTCACTATTAACAAGTCGAGTCTATTCCTACTTTTGTTTGTGTCCAGCTTAGGGCCACTGGTCCTTGTTGATGAATACCTGATTGTTCTCCTTTCCAGATACAATTTATGATGAAGATGAGGTGCTTTTAGCTCTTGCAGAACAGCTGGGAAATTTCACTGGCCTGGTGGGAGGTCCTGACTTTGCCCACTGTCTGCTGGTGAGTATTTACCTGCTACCAGCCTTCCTTCTAGAACTTATGTAGTATACAGGATACATTGTTTGGTGATAGATACTGCAGTATTTTTTATGCAGATCTGTTTTATGCAGTATTTTTATACAGATCTTATGGACAGATAGTCAAAATGCTAGTCGTTGAGAGAATTTTAAACTCAAACCTTATTTTTTTCTCTACTGAATACAAATACTTGTTTCTGCCTATGTAGACTTACTTGTTAGAGGCAGGAAGGAAAAGGATTTGATTATTTGTATAGGTTTCCTCCCCGTCCTCTGAAATTGGAAGTCTTAATTTTCATCTGGAAGTATTTTTTCTGTAACTGTGTACCTTTTGCTTTTGATTTAGTTTGTGAATTTGATGAGTTCAAGTTAGTGGACATTTGTTGAGAAGCCCACTGTATCAGGCACATTGTAGTTACACCATTAATGTTAAAGACCAGTGCAGATGGAATGAAGCCTGTGTCTTTCTGTGTAAACAAATAATTACTGCACCATCTTAACTGGAGAATATAAGCACATGCAAAGTACACAAGTAATAGAGAACAGAAAGGGATCAGCTTTGGGTTATCAGGCAGGACTTCTTGGGAGATGATGTTTGAACTAGATTTTAAAGGATGACTGAGAATTCAACAGTTGGATAAGGTGGGAAGTATGCTTTAGGGTTTTAAATATTGTGTACATGATGCCAACTCCAGAGAAGATAGATAAGTAGATAAGTGTAAGTTTATAGAAATTGATAGATTTATTATGCACTATATATTTATCTGTGATATATCTGTAATTTTTCTATTTGGATGTCAAACAGATATTTTATATATACCTACAACAGAGCTCAATTTTCTTCCCAGAGTAATGCTTCTCATTTAATTGTTAAAGAGATAAAAACCTAGAATACTTTTTCTTTTTTTTCTTCCTTTCTTTTCCCTTTTTCCTTTCTATGTTGGGGATTGAACTCACAACTTTGTGTGTGCTAGGCAAGCACTCTACCATTAAGCTGCCTTCCCAGCCCTAGAATGTATACAAGGTATTCTAACTCCTCTTTCCTTCCCCACCTCTAATCCATTAGTAACTCCTATAGATTGTACATGTATTTCAAGTCAGTCCCTTCTCTCCTTCTTTACTACTGCTGCCCTAGTCAAAGTACCATGGTTTTTCCTTTAGATTACTGCAGTATTTTCCTAACTACAGATGTCCCTGATTAATGATGGTTTGACTTAGGAGTTTTTGACTTACAGTGGTGCAAAAATGATATGCATTCGGTGGAACTTACCTCAAATTTTGAATTTTGATCTTTTCTGGGACTAGCAGTATTTGGCACATTACTCTCATATGTAGCCCAGTATTGGCAGCAAACTGAGCTCCCTCCGGGTCAGGCACACAATCACAAGGGTAGACAAGGCAGTACTCTTCAGTGTACTTGGGCCTAAACTGTGATGCTTATAGGTTAGGCTTCAATGCATTTTTGACTTAAGGTATTTTTGACTGATGATGGATTTATTGTATATAATTCCATTGATAGTGAAGGAGCATCTGTAGTTGCCTTCCAGTATTCCCTCCCAGACCTACAATTCACTCTTCACCTACCAGATGGATCACTGTCTGTGATAGCTCCTAGAAATCAAACCTGACAACTTAGCTTACAAAACCTTTCTGTGATATGCCTTTATAGGCTTATCATGTATCATAGTCCCTCTTGATAACTTCATTCCCTTCTCTTTGGTCTTCTTTCATTTCTTTGAATAAAAACAATTTTATTATTGCCATAAGACCTTTGCCCAGGTACTGCCTCTAATGAAATGCTATTTTGAGCTTTCTGTGGCTGGCTCCTTGTCATGCAGACTTGAACTCATCAGAGAGGCTTTCCCAAATCACCCAACTTGAAATAGCGTCACAGTCACTCCTTATCACTTCATCTGGTTCTATTTCTTTATATAGTACTAGTTGCCATCTAAATTTTTCTTGATTCATTGTATTTTTCTGCAGTAGATTGTAAACTCCCCTTAAGCAAGGAAACTTGTTTACCTGTTTCTTCATATTGTTAGAGCTAGATTACAACAGTAATCATTTATTGAAAGAATGAGTTTCATAGGCTTGGAACTGTGAAGCTTTTTTTTTCCTAGGTTCCTTATTTCAGGACTCTGCTTCACCATCTTTTTGTTTGTTTTCTTCTTTTTTTTTTTAAATTGTGCTAGGGGTACATTGCGGCAATTACAAAAGTTCTTAACAATTTATCAAATATATCATACTTGAATTCACTATCTCCATCATTCTCTCCCCTTCCCCCCATTCCTGGAATAGTTTCAGCAGGTCTCATTTTTCCACTTACATACATGTGTACACAGTGTTTGCATCATATTCATCCCCCTAACACCCTTTCCCCACATCCTCCCCACTCCCACTGGTACCAACTGCCCAGATAGTTCATTTTGTCTGCCCTCGGAACTGTGAAACTTGTTGAATTCAAAACTGCTGAAGTATGAAGAATTGAAGATGGAGTAGACAGGAATGGTCACCAGGGGCCAGTAAGAAATGGACACGGAGAAGTGGGCAGACTTCAACTCAAGAGACAACTCACTAAAGCAATTCTCTGGAGTTTGGTCTTATCTTGTAGTAGTGTTAGAGGTAATCCAGGGGTACTGTGTGAGCGGAAGTCATAACAGGCGGGATAGATAATGAAAGATTCAGGTAAGAGGTAGTATCTTTTCTTTCCTTCTTTTTTCTTTTCTTTTTTTTGGCAGTTCTGGGCCTTACTTAAGCTGTACCCCGATGGAGGTATAGAGTACCCTCTATAATACAGAACTGTCTACCTCTGTAACTTTTTTTTAAGTCTAGGCTGATGCTGTACTTCTTGAGCCTTGAGCCAAGCCTCTAGCCCTTTTTGTTCTGGTTATTTTGGGATGGGATCTTATTTTGCCTAGGCTGACCTAGACTGTAGCTGGGATGACAAGTGTGTATCACTGTCCAGCTTTCTCTGTTGAGACGGGGTCTTGTGAACTTTTTTGCCCAGGCTGTCCTGGAACCTTGATCCTCCTAATCTTCACCTTCTGAGTAGCTAGGATTACATGTGTGAGCCATTGTCACCTGACCAAATAATTTTTGAACTGTATAATTAGACATTTCATTTTGAGTCATTATTCTTTTGTTTCACTCTGTTGGTCATTTCTCCAAGTGGAATTTTGTGATTTACCCTTTGTAGTTTGTGGTGGATGCTGAATCTATATGGACCAAATGCAAATGCAGAAAGGTTTAGGTTCAGAGAACCAGCCTGTTTTCACTTTTCAGGGGGCCATTGGCATATTCAATTTCTGACCCTAGACTAGGCTCTCAACCCCTTTGGTCTCTTCTGTTTCTAAAGCTGCAAGCAAGATGTCCTACCATTTCTTTACTCTTCATTTGATTGTTCTGTCAGAAATTCCTGCTCTTTGGTTTATGGAAAGATTCTGAATATATCGGCCTTTTATGGGTTAGATAAAGTGATGGCATGAGCTAGTAGACAGGGTTGCTTGAACCTCCAGGAGTGGTAGGGTAGTGCTTAAAAAGCTGTGGATTCAGTGGTCTGACAAGATGTCATCATGTAATTGTGCCCAATGTTGGTTGTATTTTTGTACTTACTCTTAAGGAAATACACACAATTCTGTCTGAATTTGGCTACATATCATTTAAACTTAATGATTCAGCTTCCAGTAATATTAATATTGTGTCAAGTCTTTTACACTGTGTCATATTGTAGACACCATCTGGGAATTGCCATCTGGGACATGGGATCTTGGCTTTTCAACAGAAGTCGTGTCTCCAGGTTGACTATACCATATGTTATCCTGGTGTGAACTGAAAGTAACCATTTGGTATGAAGTAGCTAACATTCTGGTTACATGTCCCTCTTCCCTTCAGCCACATTAAAGGTGACAATCTGTATCTAACCTCATTCAATAAGTTTCCCTCTCTGGTTTTCCTTTTTGAACTGTCCAGCCTCCTTTGGAAAGTCTGGCGACTGTGGAAGAGACTGTTGTTCGAGACAAGGCTGTGGAGTCCCTGAGGCAGATCTCCCAGGAGCACACTCCTGTAGCTTTGGAAGCTCATTTTGTACCTCTGGTGAAACGCCTAGCAAGTGGCGATTGGTTCACTTCTCGCACATCAGCTTGTGGTTTGTTCAGCGTTTGCTATCCCAGAGCTTCAAATGCTGTCAAGGCAGAAATTAGACAGTAAGATACACTTATTTTTTAGTATTTGGGGTTATTGGGTAGTCATAGCTGAGATTTTACACATGACCCTGAATGATGTTTCCATACCGGGGTAGTTGGGTTGTGCCATTTTTTTAAAAATTCATTTGAATATACCAGTGTTTTATTTTTGTTCCTTCTTTGAGTAGAAACCTAATCACTGATATTTGTAAGAGACAATTTTTTTCAGTATTATTTTTGTTCCTTCTTTGAGTAGAAACCTAATCACTGATATTTGTAAGAGACAATTTTTTTCAGTATCTTTCTATGTTGGGTATGTTTAATAAAACCATAGTATTTGACAGGAATACCTTCCTTGTTTTCTGCTATAGGCACTTCCATTCTTTGTGCTCAGATGACACACCAATGGTACGACGCGCTGCTGCTTCCAAATTGGGTGAATTTGCGAAAGTTTTGGAATTAGACAGTGTGAAAACTGAAATTGTTCCATTGTTCACTAATCTAGCTTCAGATGAACAGGTAAATCAATTCTAGTATTTAAGAGGCACAGATCTATGTGTTCCTCCCCTCTAACATTTTAAATATTTCTTTAGGGTGTTTTGGTTCTTATGGTAGGTCCTTTCTGCAAAGTTAATGCTTAATTCAGGCCTGGTATGACTCATCTCAGTGTCACATTTCTTTCTTAACAAGACCATGATTTTCTCCCTTACATTAGCAATTGTTAAAAGAAGAGGGAGTCAAAGAGGAAATGGTAGCCATAATAATAGAAAGGAAGAACAAAACTGCATCAAAGGATTGTATACCTTTGGGAATTGCAGGCTGTATTGTGATGTGGAGACTTTGAGATGAATAAGCATGTATTATGTTTAGAAAGCCATTTGGCCTCTGTACTAGTGTATGGAACTACTTGGTATAACAGCTTTAAATCCAAGTGTCTGGATTTCTTTGGTATAGAAAAATAATAAAAATAGCAAACATCTACTAATGTACTTAATTTTGGCTGTTTCTCTATATGGAGGGGGTGGATTGGTTCCAGGATCATCTGAGGATGCTGCAGTCTGCAGATGCTCAATTCCCTTTTGTAAAATGGTGTGGTAGTTGCATGCTGCTGTGTTTAGACTCCTGTATATTTTAAACAATCTCTAGACTACTTACAAGGCCTAGTGCAACATAAGTGATGTGTAAGTAGTTACTACATTGTTTAGGGAATAATGACAGGAAAAAGTCTGTATGTGTTCAATATAGACAGAATTTTTTCCAAATAGTTTCAATCCATACTTGGTTGAGTACATAGATACAGGAGGTTGGCAATTTTTTACCTGCTACTTGTTTTTAGGGTTTTTTTGGGGGGGGGGCAGTGAAACTGGGGTTTGAACTCAGGGCTTCATGCTTGCCCTCCAGTCCATTTTCTCTAGTTATTTTGGAGATAAGGTCTCATGAACTATTTGACCAGACTGGCTTCAAACCGGGTTCTTCCCAATCTCAGCCTCCCAAGTAGCTAGGATTACAGGCATGAACATGTCTTCTGTATGTCCTGCAAAATGGTAGTTGAATCTAGAGTAGGGGTTTGTAAACTTTTTCTGTGAAGGCTGACTAGTAAATATTTTAGGCTTTGTGGGTCGGATAGCCTCTATTGTAATTATTCAACTCTGCTGTTGTGCAAGAGCAGCTGTAGAGAATACGTACACCAACAAACATGGTAGTATTCTGTTAAAACCTTATGAAAATTATGACCATTGTTTTCTTCACCCTTGACCTAGAGGCTTCATGAAATTTAGGTTTGATATTTTTGGATGGGGGTATGCTAATAGTAGCATTTGATGCTCAAAAAATATTAAATGCTTTATTGCAAAATATGTATGTGTGTGTTCCTTCTGACCACTAATAAAAGACTCATTCATTCATTGAAAAAATAATTACCCACTCTATATCAGGCACTGTTCTAGTGCTGGCATACATTGTTAAACAAGGTATTCAGAGGCCCTGCTGTCATGGAGTTTATGTTTTAATAGAGAAAAGCAACAATAAACAGATAAATATCAGGGGTAAATGTTATAAAAATTAATTAGGTTGGCATAATAGGGAGTGATTATAGGGTATCAACTGGTTAGTCAGGAGAGGACTCAGAAGTGACATTAACCAAAACATGAAAAAAAATATTGTCCAGTCCTTTTTGTAGAGTGTCAGAGTTCTAGGAAAAAAGAATTTCAGGAGGAGAGGACATGCGTAAAGGTCTGAGGTGGGAATATAGTGGTGGAAAGACTCTGGTAAGAGGTGAGGTTGGAGAAGATGAATAGGGTCAGAGCTTTAAATCAGAGTAGAGTTTTGATTTTCTTCTGTAGATGCAGTGAGACTCCATTGAGATTTTGAGCAGAGATGACATGGTGTAATTTACATTTTTAAATGATCAATTCTGGCTTCTAGGTGGAATGAGTGAAAAGGAGGAGAATAGACACAGAATTAGACTTTTATAATAATAAGGCAAGAGGTGATGGTTGTGAACTCAGGTGCTAATAGTGAAGATAGAGGTTAAACAATTTAGCACTGTTGCCTTGGCTGAGGGAAGAGGAATCAAGGTCTAGAATTTTGACTTGAGCATCTGGATGAATGATGGTATCATTGCTAAGATTCAGTGGAAGAGGAACAGATACGGGGAGAATATCAGATTCTGAAAGAGAAGTGATAACAAGAATTTGCTGGCATATATTTCTGTAGGTAACAGTAATTCCTTGATTCAGCATCATTTTCAAAATCTAGAAATAGCTCAGTGGTCACTACCAAGAACCTAATTCTGTCTTTTTTACCTGCTCATTTTGGAAACAGAGCAGGGCAGTGAGTGTGTCATAGGCATATATGGTCAATTATTGTTGATGTATTTCTTTTTCTTTTTCTTTTTTTTTTATTGGCAGTAATGGGATTTGAACTCAGGTTATTTGTTAGGCAGGTGCTCTACCACTTGAATCATACCTCCAGCACGATGTACTTTTCCAGTATTTTGGAAAGTTGGAGTCACTGTCATCTTTCTCTTGGTTATGTATATTCCACATATTTGTGCATTGATAAATTCAGTTTTTTGTCCTGTTTCACTTGGGTGTTCACATATTTACATGTTTCAGTTTCTGCGATTCCCAAGTCTACCGCCTCAATTCCTAGTGTCCAGTTGAGTTTTAATTATATATTTCTTCTTGCTCAAAGGACGTATAGTTAGTTGGTGCATTGGCATTTGGCAGTTTATAGTTGCATAACTGAGTTCTATGGTCAATTATTGTTGATGTATTTCTTTTTTTTTTCTTTTTTTTTTATTGGCAGTATGGGATTTGAACTCGGGTTATTTGTTAGGCAGGTGCTCTACCACTTGAATCATACCTCCCAGCACGATGTCTTTTCCAGTATTTTGGAAAGTTGGAGTCACTGTCATCTTTCTCTTGGTTATGTATATTCCCATATTTGTGCATTGATAAATTCAGTTTTTTGTCCTGTTTCACTTGGGTGTTCATATTTACATGTTTCAGTTCTGCGATTCCCAAGTCTACGCCTCAATTCCTAGTGTCCAGTTGAGTTTTAATTATATATTTCTCCTTGCTCAAAGGACGTATAGTTAGTTGGTGCATTGGCATTTGGCAGTTTATAGTTGCATAACTGAGTTCATTAATCCTATACATTTCTGATTTTTTTCTAGACATGGTTACCTCAAAGTTTGTTTTTGATCTTCAACATTTATTTTCCACTTTTTTTTTTAAACTAACTTTTCCTTTGTTATATCATTCTCATGCCAAAACTCCTGTGAATCCCACTGCAAACTGTGAAGTTTGAAAACTGAGCTTCCTAAGTGATTTCCCAGACTGGAGGTGTGGCTCAAGTGGTAGAGTGCCTGCTTTTATAAGCATCAAGGTCAAAGTTCAAACCCCTGGCCTCTTTTTCTCTGTTCTAATCTGTTATAAATAAATTACTCATGTCTGATTATCATTTTTATCCCTCAGTTTCCTTCTACAGTAAAGCTTTGAATACATTATTAAAATGTTCTTTTTTACATTTAATCTTTATATTTCATTTCACTTTCCTTAATAAAAACTGCATCCTAGCCAAGGTAATTTGCTGTTCTTGAATAAAATCACTTGTATATTTATAGCTTTCACATGCCATTCTAGGTGAAGGGAGCAGCTATTCAACTACTTCAAACCACATATGGTGTCCCCCCCCTTTTTAAGTAATACCTACAATAGCACTGCTGCATATGACACATGGCCCCATGGCTCTCCATAAATATTGTCTAACAGAAATTTTGTTCCTTTAGGATTCAGTACGTCTCCTAGCTGTGGAAGCTTGTGTCAGTATTGCCCAGTTACTATCTCAGGATGACCTTGAGGCCTTGGTAATGCCTACCCTTCGGCAAGCAGCAGAAGATAAATCTTGGCGAGTTCGCTATATGGTAGCTGACAAATTTTCAGAGGTAAAATTATTGTAGTGGCATTTTGAAGTATTTAAGGACATCCCTCCACCCCCAAAAAAATATTTAAAAAGAAACATTCTCTGTTGTACTGAAATGTTTTGAATTCTTTTGAGTGGGAAGTATTGTAAAAATACACTTGAAGATTACAGTATTTTATTTTCTAATTATTTTGTTAATATGCATTAAACCAGTTCAAAATTTTTTTTTAAGCTCCAGAAAGCTGTGGGTCCTAGAATCACCCTAAATGACCTCATTCCCGCCTTTCAGAACCTACTTAAAGATTGTGAAGCTGAAGTTCGAGCAGCCGCTGCCCACAAAGTAAAAGGTTGAGTTCAGTTTATGTGGTAACACTTGTCATTTATTTGGGTGCTCTGTCTCTTTTTTTTTTAATGTTAGTAAATTTTGCTCTTTTTAAAAATATTCTTGAGTATGTTTCAAATAAACAGAAATGATTTCAATGTGTGAAAATTTCACATTGTCTTATAAAGCTACTTTATATTTCAAACCAAACAACTATTTATCTTTTTTCTGTAAAAAACGTATTTGCAGGTTGGATTTCTGTTGTATACAAGGACTTAAAGATAGACTATTTCATTTAAAGTGAGAGTCATTTTTCCCATTAGAGCTTATTGACTTAAAAATATGATTTGATTTAACTTGCACTTGTTGAAAAATCCTAATTAAGTTTACTTATTTGACTTCTTGAAAATGGCTGTGTGGGAGCACTAATTTTCTATTTATTATCTCTTCAGAACTTTGTGAGAACTTGCCCATTGAAGGTAGAGAGACCATAATTATGACTCATATTCTGCCCTACATAAAGGTAAATGTAACCTCATTTTATTTTGCCTTACTTTGTCTTTTTTTTTTTTTTTTTTTTTCTTTTGGCATTGGGGGTTGAACTCAGGGCTTCATGCTTGTAAGGCAGGCGCATGTGAGTTACAACTCCCGCCCGTGCAGATATATCTTACCTCCATTTTTTTCCTTTAAAGTTATTGAAGTTAAAGGTGGTGAGGTAGATATGTTAAATTTGTGATGCTATTTATTGTTATTAATGCCTGTTGTAATTATAAAATGTTCTTTGGTGCTTCAGTCTGTTACCCAACATCGGCTGAGGGGACATTGTCAAATAATGTATTGAAATATTGCTCTCCTTAAGTTCCTTGGAAGATGATGTGGAGGTTTCTGTTGTCTTGCAAAAAAGAGTCTTTTAATTTTTATTATATTTTAGGAATTAGTATCTGATACCAATCAACATGTCAAATCAGCTCTAGCTTCTGTAATTATGGGACTATCTACCATTTTGGGCAAAGAGAATACCATTGAACATCTTCTACCTCTTTTTTTAGCTCAGTTAAAGGATGAGGTAAGTCTGGCTATCAGTTCTCTTACCTTTGATAATGTGATTTTGGTTTGGGCATTTGCTAAAGTAGGAGCTAAAATATGGAAATGGATTTTAAAAAACTCCAAAAACATAACTAGCGGTGCTGGTGGCTCATGCCTGTAATCCTATCTACTTGGCAGGTTGAAATCCTGGAGGATTTCTGTTTGAGGCCAGTCTGGGCAAAAAATTAGCAAGAACCTATCTCAACCAATAGCTGGGAATGGTGATGTGCGCCTATTGTCCCAGCTATGGCCAGGAAGCTTAGAATAGGAATACTGTGGTCTGGGCTGGCCAGGGTAAAAACAAGACCCTATTTGAAAAATAACCAGAGCAAAAAGGGCTAGAGGCATGACTCATGCCAGAGAGCGTCTGCTTTGCAAGCATGAAGACCTGAGTTCAAATCCCAGTACCACCAAAAACACAAACAAACAAAAAACCCCATCATAACTTACTTTAAACTTTTGACAATCCCACTGTTTGGGTAGGGGGTTACAGATTCCCCAGAATGTGGGTACAAGCCTAAAAATGTCTGTTCATCTTCTCTGTTTAAGTTTTGCTTTGTATTTACCGGTTCCTTACCTCTCAAGCTAATGTATCTGTGCTTAAAAATGTCTTTTATATAATGATAGCTAACATATATGTTGTATGATTGATATGTGCCAGACATGATACTAAGCTCGTTGTGTATATTGCTAAATGTAATACAACAGTCTTATGACATAGATCTTTCTTGTACTACCATTTCCAGATGAGGAAGCTGAGGCACAGAGGGATTTTGCCTGAGATCTCTTGGCAATGACAGGAGACTTGAGTACATGTAATTTAATTCCAGAGCCTGTGCTCTTTGCTGTCCTGTAGACTTTTCACAGGAAGTTCTGGTTAAGGTCACTTACATTTATGTGTGTTGAATTACATATGTACTCAGTATTCACTATTTCCTTTATGCTATGCTTTTTTTTTTTTTTCCTCAGTATTAGGAATTGAATCTAGGGGTTGTGCATGCTGACCTACACCCCTAGCCCTGTACGTTTTTTTTCCACCAGAGTCAATCCTTTTTAATTTTAAATTTTCTTCACACTTTTAAATCTTAATCTTGATAGGAGAACATTGTGGAGAGGACTTAATTTTTAAATGTGGTCTCTGGGGACTTTTGTACTTACAGTGTCCTGAAGTTCGTTTGAATATCATCTCCAATTTGGATTGTGTAAATGAAGTGATTGGAATCCGTCAGCTCTCTCAGTCTCTCCTTCCTGCCATAGTGGAACTGGCTGAAGATGCCAAATGGAGGGTCCGGCTTGCCATCATTGAGTATATGCCACTGCTGGCGGGCCAGCTGGTGAGGATGTGTGCTCTGTGAACTGGAGGGTTGGGTCAAACAGTGGAGCTTTACCATGGCAAGTAGGAGGCCAAAATAGTCCATATGATTTTGTTTATTTAGATGCACAAAAGTATAATAAGCTTGTTCTTCTTGCCTATAGGATGGTTTTTATTTTCATTAGTACATTAACTTTTAACAGAAAGGTATTATAGAAATACATATCATTTTACCACTACCATAGAACAACAAAGCCACAGAAGAATATGATCCAGTTCTTGGTATATGGAACATAAATTTTATAATGTCTAACGCCTATGTGACTCTTAAGGAGTAATCCACGAAAAACCGAAGGAAGTATGGTTTCAAGATAAGTCAGCTTCACTTTTTGTTCAAGATAGCTTCTCTGGTTGCTTGTGTTCTAAGCAAAATGTCCCTAGGAACCATTTTTCCTACATTCTGATTAAAAGTGGTTGAGGAACACCATATAGAAAAGCTTGGCCAGAGTCCACGTTATCACAGTGTCTGTTAACTGTTGAGTTTCATTATTAGTTTTACTCTCATACTACTGTAATGAAAATTTCAAAGCTGGACCATTGTTCCACATATTTTCTGTTTCAGTAGGTGTCTTAGATAGTACTAACTTTCATAGACCCTTACTCCTGCTGATAGTACTTAATAACAGTGTATTGTAAATGTTAGGATATAATTGGAGAGTTGACAAGAGACTGTATTTGGTGTTCCATTTCTGCTGGCTTACCATAGTGCCTGTAATAAATTAGGCACTTGACCATTGTTGATTGTTGAATAAAAATTGTTTTATTTTTACTATCTCAAATATTAAATAAATATTTATAAATTTTATTAAATAAAAACTTATTTAACACACTCTGTGTCAGTGTACTGCTGACATTACTATGGTTTGCTTCATCCTTCTGCCCCACTTCCATAGTTTATGGGGTTTATTTTTTCTTTTCTTGGACCACTGAATTTGTTTTGTATTTAGTGTATGAACATGCATCTTTGTGGATGTTTGAGGCAGTATGTTTATAACATTTGAAGTGTGCCATTCTTCAAAATGGATGCCAAAGATAATTAGCAGATCTAAAAGGGTCAGGCAAAGTCATCTTGTCATCCTTGTCCACTGTTACTTCTAAATGCTGAAGGTCATTTTCTGTCCTTCATTGGTTAACTGTCAGAGATCACTCTCCACCCATTAGCAGCAGTGGCTAATAGGTTTGCTGAAGACTGTAGGGAGGGTGAATTTTAGTATCTTTTTTTGTGTGTGTGTGTGGGGAGAAGGGTTTAAACTGAGGGCCTACATCTCGAGTCACTCTGCCAGTGCTTTTTGTGATGTTTTTTATATTTTTGAAATAGGTTCTCGCAAACTATTTGCCTTGGCTGGTTTCGAACTGTGATGCTCCTGATTCCTGACTTTTGAGTAGCTAGGGTTACAAGCATGAGCTACTGGAGTCCAGCAGCACCATTTCTTTTTAACCTCTTCTCTCCCTCAACCTTGAAAGTCTCCAAGCACTGCTAACTTATACTGAGCAGTATGGAAGCAAGGCACATGGTGACTTTGGCTGGCTTATACCTGTCTGACAGGGGTGATAAACATCGCTATGGGACATTTTGATTTTCAGTTTTAAACTTCTTGTTAGAATATATATTCTCCTTAATTTTTCTTTTTTAAAAAAAATTTATTAGCATGTATTTATTGTACAGAGGGTGTCACTGTGATGTTTCCATATGTGCTTGCAATGCACCTTAGTTAGGTTCACCCCCCACCATCATTCTCCCTCATCCTCCTTCCCTCTACTTAAAATGATTTTGACAGGTATGAATGTTCTGTTTTTATACAAGTATGTAAAGTACATCCACTGTATATACCCTCTTTTAACCTCTTCATTCACCTCCCGCTCCCACTATTCCCAGCCTAATGGGACCTATTTTACATTCTTGTCTGTACTTCATTATTTGTTTATTCATTGTTCAAAGGGGTTTTACTATGGTATTTCACCTGTAAATATGTTGTACTTTAATCATCTATTATTCTTTCTTACCCCTTTCCCCTAACCCCTTGTTAGTCACCTGTGTTTAGTTATGCGGTCTTCCTACACAGATGCAGTGTATTCAGTATTACTCACTCTATCTTTTTCTCTTTTTTTCCCTCTTTCCCTTGTCCCCTCAAACAGTTCCATGATTGCAAACCTGTTTTCGGGGCGGGGGGTGGGGGGGGAGTGTGTGTGTGTGTCCGTGTGTCCAGATCGCAGGGTCTAAGGTTCGGGTGCCTTTTTTGCTAGGATCACAGAGGTTTTAGGACCAGAAGGCTGATGACCAAACTGGCAAATTTTTTATTTTTGCATTAAGCTTATAAGTAGTACAAAGCTGGAAGTTATACACTGCAAGGAGAATTTCTGTGCCTGGGAAACAATGCCCTCTACCTGAAAATAATGTCCTCGCTTCAAAACTCCCTGGTTTCATAAAAAAAACTTGGACTCTCCTGGTTTCACCTAGTTTCTCCTTGTTTCACATACACAAATCCCAGGCCTGGTTGCCAAGGGCATGCTGCCCTGTTCCTGGCCTTTCATAAATAAATATCTTCAGGTTAATGTTTCTTTTCTCCAGACAAAGGGAGCCACTCCATGTTTCCCTAAAACCCCAGTGAGAGATGTGGTGTACCTGCAGTTCTGACCTTGTCAGATTGTGGCTCATGGCTCCCAACATTTATACATATGTATGATTTTGTATTTGTGTATTTGTTTATCTTTTGGATCTATCTTCCACATGGGAGAGAAAACATTCAACCTTTGTCTTTGTGAACATGATAGTCTTACTTTGTTTAACATGATAGTCTCCAGTTCTTAATTTTTCTTTATGTGTAAAATATTTTTGATAATTCATTCAACATACAAAATTCTCTAAAGACTATACATGGTCTGCCTTATAGACCATAAAGAGTAAATATAAAGTTAAATCACAAAAATCAGGGAATAAAAGTTAAAGTTAATTAAGACTGAAGGAAAATCCTCAACCTGAAATGAAAAATCTTTGAGAGCTGAACTGATGGTCTAGTTCCCAAAACCTGTTCATAATGGTCTGTTAGGTGATGCCATTCAAGTACTATTTTCAAAGCACAGACCTTTATAGTTCATGCCTTTATTTTTAAAATACATAATACTGGATCAGGAACTTGTGTAGAATTCAAAGAATCAAAAGACTAAACTTACTAGACCCCAACAGGAAGGCCCCAGGAAAGATGTTCACTGTGCTTCCACACGTGGTGTGGAAGTCCTGGGGTGAGAGGCCTGTGTAAATGACTCCTACAGCTCATACTCGCCCTGTGCTGAGGCTGCCCGGTTGACAGTCATGAGGAGCTGGGCTGGGAGAGCCAGGTGGTTCTACTGGTAACTTCATGCTGAGGCTCCGGCCTTGTGCACTTGTGCCTGCCTTTTTCTCCCTCTGTTGCTTTCTCCCATTGTCGCAGCCTTAAGGATTTGTTATGTAGTTAACCAAAAAAGGGAACATGACTGAGAATTATTATTATTGACAGGTATTTTCCTGGATAATTTATTTTTACCAGTAATGTAGATTTTGCTTGGAAGACTGTCTAGTTGCTTTCTTCCCACTCCTCTGCAGTATTGTGTCTAGCTTCTGGCCATCCTGTTCTTCTGCCTAGCAGGGCTGATGCCATTGCACTTATGTTTTCTTTTGTTTATGATTTTTTTTTTTCTTGAGATGGTCTTACTAGGTAATCCAGGCTGGCCAAGAATTCACGATCCTTCTGCTTCAGCCTCCTGAGAGCTGGGTGGTGCATACCACCCTCCCCCTCAGCTATTTGTTTATTTATTTTGTGGTACTGGGGGGTTGAATTTAGGGCCTCATGTTTGCTAGGCAGGTGCTCTACCACTTGAGATACTCCACCCACTCATGGTTGTTTATTTATGATTTCTGTCCAGTAAAATAGATTTATACTTTGTAAATCCCATGGTATTACTTTTCTGGTTGTTTCATGAATTCAGCTTGTTTGAAAACAAGTATTTAGTCTTTAGTAATCTTTGTGTAATATAAGTAGAGTGTCTTGATTCCTAAACTTTAGAGATGTGTATTAATGGAATATTCTCTATTCATAGGGTGTGGAATTTTTCGATGAAAAGCTGAATTCTTTATGTATGGCCTGGCTTGTGGATCATGGTGAGTAGATAACTTAAAAACAGATTATCACGGAAAGCCCAGGGTTTTCATATATCCTGTGTTGTCCATACACTTCATGATTTAACCACATATTTTGTCTTAACAATGTAGGGATGTAGAAAACTAGATTATTCCAGTAGCTTTCTCTGAATACATATTTGACATTGCTTTCAGTCATTTTTCTACTTAATAAATTTAATTTGTCCATTAAATAATCTCTTTGTTCTTTATTACCCATCCTCTCATGTCATCTTCTGACTTTCTCTGTTACATACATACTTATTCCTTTTGATGTCAATTGCCATCAGCCATTAGTGTCAGCACCTACACTGGGATGGAAGGAGATTGGAATCAAATGAAGGACCCGGGTAGGAAGAAATGGCTACTTGAATTTTTGGAGGTGACGTACACATGAGGTTTACTGTAGGGTAGTGTAATTCCAGATTCTTAGGAGTGGGAGACATTGGGTGTGCTCTGGTTCTGGTGAAAGGAAGGTTTACTGCTTATTCCCTGACTGCTGCTTCTGAGTGTTAGCTTAGGGCAAGTCCGATAGGACATCAGGACTGAGCAGGTGACTTTTTGGTGAGGTCTCAGGTGTGTGTGCATGTATCGTCTTGTCTCTAAGGCAGCAGCAGGTAGGAGACACTTTTTGTGCCAGGTCCCAGGTCTAGATTTGGTCCCAGGTCTAGTGTGGGCTTAGACTTGCTCTGTGTGACTTTGAGATCTCATGTGACATTATTCTGTGAGCTTTGGTTCCATGTTTTGGTGGATATGACAGACATCCTGTTTTAGTCTGCAGCCTCCTATATATACTGCATATATGTATTAACTATATCTCTGTTCTCTGTGGATCTCTATGGCTAGGTATTTGGGAGGAATGAGAATATCTGTGGCCGGGTACCAGTGGCTGATGCCTGTAATCCTAACTACTTGGGAGGCAGAGATCAGGAGGATCTTGGTTTGAGACCAGCCCAGGCAAATAGTTAGGAGACCCTATCTTGAAAAAACCCATCACAAAATGGCTGGTGGAGTGGTTCTAGTGGTATCATGCTTGCTTAGCAAACTTGAGGTCCTGAGTTCAAACCCCAGTACCACCAAAAAAAAAAAAAAAAAAAAGAATGTGTCTGCTTATACATGTAGGTAGTTTTGTTAAAAGCATCATTTGTATCATATGGGAGATCATACGATTAAGAGTGTGAAAAGAAAGGGTGTGGAAAATAATGTCACATTCTGTAAAGGCACATATGTGGGTATTACCAGTGTATTCAAACTAGATTGTGAAGACTTCCCCATTTCTTTTTTTCTCAAAAGTTATCTTTTTATGACCTGCCATCATATTTTACAATAAAATCTAAATTTGCTAAGTCACAGGAAAGAAATTTTTCTCTCTTTTTTAATCCTAAGAAGTGTTTATATTATTTGTGATAAATATTTATTGTTAGCAGAAATGGCATGTCCCAACAGATTTTTATATTTGAACTGGAATTCTGGACTGAGTTTTTTTATTTTGAGGGACTTTTAATTCTTACTCCACAAAGAATTCCTGACATCATTTTATCTATAATTGTTTTCTCAGTGCAAATTAATTGCTCCTTCCTCATTTTTTTTTTCCTTTGATTTTGGGAGCAGAAGAGACCTTTATTTTATTGGAGCAGTATACCAAAGTGGTAATGGCAAGCATTCTTTGACCCAGTGAAGTAGCAGTTCTGCAGTTTTTCTGTTAATTAACCATAGGGGTTTTCTGTTGTTTTGCTTTTGAATTTTACTATACTTTAGAATTTTAATATGTTTTTTAACTTGAAAAATAACTGCTTTTGTATTTTAGGTGAGAGTTATGTAGTGATCACTGATTAGTTGGGTTTTTAAAAAACATTTCTCCTGGTTATTAAACTATTACAGGACTACTGTGAAAAATCCAGAGAGATTTAAGGAACAAAGTATGACTTACCCTATGTTTCTGTGGCTTTCTGGACATTATTGATCAGAAGGGATGGATTTAGGGCTGGGGATGTAGCTCAGTGGCCCTGGGTTTGATCCCCAGTAAGGGTGTGTGTCGGGGAGGCAAGGATGGATTAGAGTAATTAAAATTTAAAAAAATTATATTAGCATATGTTGTACAAAGCAAGGGGCTCATTGTAAAATTTTTTTTAATTAAAAATTGTTTGCAGTGCTGGTTATTGAACCTAGGGCCTCATGCATGCTTAGGCAAGTGTTCTATCACTGAGCTACATTGGTAGCCTGGGGAATTTATTTTTTTATAGAAGAAAGGAAAAAGTATCAAAGTCAAGGTTGGTGAGTATAGATAGAATTAGACACTTAAAGAAACCTTACAGGTCAACCTGACCTTGAGGGAAAGAGAGAACGTGACAGACAGGCAGACAAAACAGGAAGAGAGAAAATAGGCAGACTGTGGAATGGTTTGCACTCTTCTGACAACTGAATTGAGAGGAGCCAAGAACATAGTAGGCATGTAGCCAAGTAGAGATGAGTGCAGTAAGGTCTTGGTCAGGGCTGAGTATGTGTGCTTCATCGAGTCTCTGCTTACTTTGGTAAAGGAATCCCTTCCTATGATGATGGCATTATGGTGAGAAGAACCTCAAGTCATCAAAGGAAAACACATGATCTAGTTAACCTCACCTTAGAAGGAAGAACTTGGGAGGGGTTGAGCCAAAGACTGTGTGTGTGTGTGTGTGTGTGATGGAAAAGAATCTGTCTCACTGATAAAATGATTGATTTGCGATTGCTCCTTAGAGAATGCTTCTAGGCATTCTTCTGGGCTGCTTCTCTTGTAGACTTTGGTCAATTTAAGCATTGGTAATAAATTGTATGGTTACTTATCTGTGGTGTTTTGCCTGTTCTCATTGTTATTGCCCAGAAGAATCTGAGGACTGGGAAAGATTGGGCATTTCCTGTGTAGAGGCTCACATAGATTGTCTAGAACTGGGGCTGTGGCTTGGGTAGTGTTTCTGCCCTTCCTTGAGAGTTGGGCCTGCCAGGTGAAACAGGTGAAAGGAAATCAGCACCTACCATCCTTAATTTGTTATCTAAGCCCAAATTTTGCGTGCTTCTGCATCTGTGAAATGATGTGACATAGACCAGGCTTTATATGGCAACTAATTTTGAAAGAATAGTAGCTCAGATCTTTATGATGCCTTTGACAAATTATTTTATATGGAATTATTGGATGTTAAAGCAGACGCATTTATTTACAGAAGACACTTGACATCTTGTCTCACTCAACCTAAACATTTGTAATAGAAAAGCAGCAAGTTGAACCCAGGGGCTTGAGCATGATAAGTAGTTGCCCTACCACTTGAGCTGCAGCCTCAGCTCCAGTCTTAAAGTTTTTACGTGTTGTGTAAATGACCACTGTGACCTCTGCAGTATTTCTTTGATGTCTTTCTCTCAGCTACTAGAATAATCTAAATACCCACTGCTATTTAGATACCAATAATACTGGATTATTGGACATCAATAATACCAGTGCTAGAATAATTAAACTACTCATTGGTCTTGAGGTCACAGGTTTGCTTTAAAAATCCACTGAACCCGTCACTGTTATCAAGTCTAAATGTAGTTTTCAAAAAGTGCTCTGTGGTCTGGGCCCATTGTAACAGTCTGACCTCACAATCTCACAGCTTTTCTCTTTTTCCTTTTTCCCTTTGTGCCCTGGGTGCATTTCTTTTTACTTTTCCTTTCCAGGAATTTTTTTCCCCTCTTCTCTCTTCCCACACAAATCCTCCCTCATCTTCATGGCCCAGTGCACTGTCTGTCTTCCCTGTTCCCAGACCTCTTGTTCCCTCTACTCTAAAATCCTACAGCCTTCACAACTTTTACTACACATCATCATAAACTTCATTATTATTGACTTTATTCCATGGGATTTCTTGGGGTTCCTTAGCTTTCATTTTCTAATAAGAGTATGTGATTGGAGGAAAGTATACAGTGATTTCTTTCTGTAACATGTAAAACCTTGTAGGCACTTGGGTCTCTGTTAATTTTCCCTGCGTATTAATGAGCTCCTCATATCCCTTTCCCTTGGACATAAATATTTTGAAATAGCAAATCTATGAGTTGTAGCTGAGCTTGCTTATCATTGTTGGATGAGTATATTTGGGGTCTGTTTGCAGAGATTTTGTTTTTGGTTCATGTTTGATGTTGATCTAAGTAGGTCGTGGCTTCTAAAGCAAGCAGTATGAGAATGTGTTCTTGACCCTTTCTGCAGTTTATGCCATCCGAGAAGCTGCCACCAACAATCTTATGAAGCTAGTCCAGAAGTTTGGTACAGAGTGGGCCCAAAATACCATTGTTCCTAAAGTGTTAGTAATGGCGAATGATCCCAATTATTTGCACAGGATGACCACTTTATTTTGCATTAATGTAAGTATTACATAATTAATGCTAATTTCAGACATTGAAGCAGTGACAAGTATTTATTCACAAGTATTTCTGAATGCACTGTCTTCTATTTGAGATATGTTTCATGTACTAATTTGAACAGGAGATGAGAGAATATGTTGATTTGAAAATTTACATTTGTATTTTAAAAGTTGTGATGTAGTTGTAAATTCTGATGTAGTTCTCTGATTCTTTAAATGCTTCCTGATGTTCCTCATGCTAGAAACATTTTCCTGTTAGTCAGTTGCTTTCTTATTAAATATTTGTCTCACTAGATTTCAGTCTTTTGAATGTGACATCTAATTTATTTTTCTAGGCACTGTCTGAAGCCTGTGGTCAGGAAATAACCACTAAGCAGATGCTGCCCATCGTATTAAAAATGGCAGGAGACCAAGTAGCAAATGTGCGTTTCAATGTGGCCAAATCTCTCCAAAAAATTGGACCAATTTTAGATACCAAGTAAGATTTTAATGTTACTCATGTTTTAAAAGTATACTTTAGTAGGAAATAAAAGCTTAAATTAAGTTTATTGATGTTCACTTTACCTGGAATATGGGATTGTTTAAAGAAAATAATTTAGCCACCATTTTTGTGTGCCCGCTCTTGATTTTTTTTTCCTCTCTCTCTTTTTTTTAATCTTTTTTGTGGTACTGGGGGGTTGAACTCAGTGCCTTGTGCTTGCTAGACAGGTGCTCTACCACTTAAGCCATGCCTCTAGCACTCTGACTTTTATATTTAAGCTCTGTATTTGCATAGATCATTGTCTGAAGCCAGTTTTCCTGAGAAAATCTTTAGAAATTATTTGGTATATTTTTCAAGTTTATATGTGTTTTAAAATATTTTTTATTTTAAACCTTTAGAAATTACTATAAGGCCAAAAATAATTACCATAAGGATTTCCATAAAGAATTTCTCTGACCCACTAGACTGTCTTTTACAGATAATTCTTTGAATTTTAGTGCTTTGCAGGGGGAAGTTAAGCCAGTATTACAGAAGTTAGGTCAGGATGAAGACATGGATGTCAAATATTTTGCACAGGAAGCTATAAGTGGTATGTATTTCTGTTTTCTGACTTGAAGCTTATGGTCTGGTTACTGGGGACTCATCTCTATCCTGTGAGTGTGGTAAAAGGGCAGGGTGATAAGCATGAGAGACAGTGAGGGGTGTGATTTCCTGGAATGCTGGGGCCCTGTTTGGTTACAAACTTCTTGGCCCACTATACCCTAAGTGACCTGGCCATTTTCTTAGTTCCATGTTGAGGATTGTGTAGGATTATGATTCTTATTGTCAAGAAGAGTTTTAATTTGGATTTAACTAGTCTTTAAAGTTTAACTTCTGTTTAGCCTAGAGAGTAAAAGAACAATATAGGCAGAATGAAGAAAATGACAACAATGAGAAGATCTTGGTCTCATGCTTTTGGATCATTGTTACATGCTTAAAATTCACATAGATCGATCATTCATGAACTTTCTGTACCACTAACCTGATTTTGTTTGGAATTTTCCAGTTCTTGCGTTGGCATAATGAGGAACAGGAGGGAAAAGCCTTTACTAAATACTTATCACAGATTTCTAGTCAATGTGTTCTTAAACTGGGTGGAGGAGAAAAACTGGAAAACCTTCAAGATCTCTTCCAAGCAAATGATAACAACGTAGAAGAAATCAAATTTCAGTGACTTGATTCTTTCTAAAGATGAAATGAGATTGTTTTTACTCATTTCTTTGTTGGGATAATTATTTAAGTCATTCTTATTGACCAATTCCTGATATTTGGTACAGTCATCTCATGATGTCTCTTCATGCTTTTTCGGCTCCTGCCTCTTCACTTTTGAATCAGGCCCCAGCCACTTAATATTCCGGACAAAGCCTGGATGGATTTGGACCCAGACATGGAATGGAGCAATTCTTTTACTGTTTACATATATCTGTACTTTTCCATCATTCCAAAGTTAAATGTAAATGGTTTAGAATAACTTATTCTATAAAGTCTCTGGTTTGGAGGTACTTTGAGATTTGACTGTAGTGAAAGTCACATTTGCCTGGATTATGATGGTTGGCCCAGTATCTCACATGAGGGGAATATGGAAGCTCAGGGTTATGTATTGGTTGCTTTGGTTTTTTATTTGCTCAATTTTGACTGTAATCATGCCATTCAGAAACCTGAAGTGTTGGATGTATCTTGCTGCTAATGTGTGATGTTGAAACCTAACAATTTCAGCGGCTCAGCACTGTGACTGCCTTCAGATATCCTCTTCTCTCCTGAGAAACTTTAGCTTTAGTGCCTCCTACTAAGCAGTAGTTCTGCTTCAGTAAGATTGTAGCTTTGTGTTTTAAATGAGTGTAGGAACCACTGGAACAATACCGTATGTGTTTCTTACTCTACCTGGTTCTTCCAGTGATGGTAATATCTTATCCTGGCTACATTGTGCAGTAGCTCTCCAAATTGAAATTTCATTGCTAAGTTTTTGGTATGGGTGATGCTTGAATTTTATTTAAAATGTTTGCTTTCCTACTTTTACAGTAAAACCTCGTTAATTCCTCCTGGAGCTTAAGGAAGTAGGTTAAGCTGAAGGGCTTGCTGAAGCAGGTTGATAGGATGTACTACTTAAACAGTTGTCAAGCTCTCTAAAATTACCTGATTGTCACTGGGCATGCCTGTTCAATCACTCTTTTCAATTACATCACATACTTCCCATGAGTTCACACTTTTTTAAAAGAATTCAGTGTTCTTTTTATCCTTGAAATATACATACATATTTGTATTTCATGGAGAATTTAAATATTGATTTTCACATAAGACTTGCCTGGTCTCTGATGAATTTTAGTTAATGAGGTCTTCCTGTAATTTTTCTTTAGTGCATCTTGCTTTGTAGTTTGGTGTTTCCATTTTGGGTTTTGAATTGTTGAGTTCACTTACAACATCCTTTAAATCTGCCAAGCCCTGTTTTGTTTTGTGAAGGCCCAAAGATATCTATAAAACTTTGTACATTAAATAATTCCATAAAACCAAGTTTGATTAAATTCTTTCAAATTTGTCTTACCTTAGAAAAGCAGAACAGAAAATTTAAATCAGAAGTTATTATCCTTCAAATAACAAATTATCTTGTAGTATGTTTCCATTTTATGACTTCTCAGGCCAAGGATTAAATATTTTCTTGAGCAAAGGTCTTTCTTATATTTTCATTTTAGTATCTTAAAGTATTATGCTTTAAACATTTTAACTTTGGTTTCATGGTTCTTATTTTTATGACCTGCAAATATATCCTCTTCATTGAATTTGAGAGACTTTTGTCTTGATTTTTTAAACAGATTTGCATTGGAGTTATTGCTTCACTCTTTGGAAATCCCATTGGCTTGAGAACTGATTTTTACATGTCCTTGGGCCCCTCCTTTTCCCAGAGTTATGCATTTACCTTTCTGCCTTAAGAGTGTTCAAGGGACAGGCAGTGAACCCTTGCTTTGCTTTCTCAAACTCTGGCCATATAACACAGCAGGGCCCCCTTTTTTTTTTTTTGATGACCCCTTAGGAACATCATTATTTCTTTCTGACTTAAGGAATAAGAAATCTGTTACTCTTCACAGGAATTGCTCTTCGGCTTATAACTTGGCCGTTTTATCCATGTGTTCATTTTCCTGTCCTGGTTTCACTAGGATATAAGCTCCAGGACCTCTTGAGGGCAGAGGTTTTTGTCTGTTGTGTGCTATGTTCCTAGCATCTGGATCTGAGGCTGGTGTACATAGTAGGTGCTCAATAAAAATGTATTCAATGAATGGGTTTTAAAATCTGTCCTACAATGTGTTGCACGCATGGTTCAAAGTTATTAAGGGCACCAGACTTTCTTATTCTCTGGTGACACAATTGAAGATTTTCAGCTCTTAGGAGCGAGCTTGATGTGGCCCTTTGCCAGTCCCCAGCTTCGGCAATAGCTCTTTTTGGATTTGTCTGCTTGCCTCAGGCATACATTGCTTTTATTTTTGTCCTGGGCAGTTTATATCAGTTTGGTTTATTAGGAAGGTGAAGCCAAGACATAGACACACACAACTTACGGCAATTAAAATGTCTAATCAATTATAAGATTCACCTTAGTGTTGGTTGCTACAGTTTGTGTGGGGTTTATCCCTCTTGGGCTTAAGAGGTCAGATCTTGTTTCTCTGACAGTGCTGTCAAGGAGATAGGAACCTGAAGATGCATCTTGTTTCATAAGAATAAACAGATTAACCTGGTTTCAAATGAGCCTTGTGGAAATAAGGGCAGCCCTCAGCTCACGGAAATACCACAGCTTGGCTGCTGTGGTACAGGGCCCTGCGGTTCTTTGTAGGACAACTTGTCCTGACTCAACACAGACAGCTGCCTGACTTTGACCTTTGTCCAAGCATCCAAGATGCTTGTATAGACCTTTGAAGGGAAACACATGTCATTTCTGACCCAGTGGTTACACTGTCAGGGCTGTCTGTCACAGCGTTGTTCCCTTATTAACCAGTGTGCTGTCGCTGAGCTGAAAGCTTGGTGTTTTCCTGTAGAGGTCACCTTGATTTTACCCTATGCCGCCCCCTATACCCAGACCATCAGGAATGGCAGGGCAAGGCGGCCAGGCAAGTTGGTGCTTGTCCTTCCCTCTTGCCTTTTACTTAATTTTTCATTTTGGTGCTTGGGGTATAAAAACTGAAAGGAGGCCCTGTCATCTAGTGTTCTTGGTCTCACAGATGAAATGGTTGCCAGCTTATTTCCTTTGATTTGCTAGTGTCCTGTTTTTATCCAGTTCCTTGCTCCTTTCCTTAGAGATTCCCCAGTCATCTTCTGTATCTAGAATGTGCTCACTATTCATTGTTTGCCTCCATGGACCTGCTGTTTCCAGGAAATTACATAATGTTCAGTTGAGATGGAAATCTGGAGGATGAAGAGTGTTTAATTACTCACTGTGTAGAAAAGCCAAGTCTTTTTTTTTTTCCAGTTGTCTTAAACCGATATTGTCAGTTCTGAAAGGAGCCAGGTCTTTTCTGTTTGTTCAGGGATCTGTAGGCCATTGATGACCAAGATGTGCTCCCCCGCCCCAACCCCCCACCCCACAACTATTACTGTAAGGCCCCACGGGTGGCTCTTCTGAGGGTATGTTAAGGCAGGTCCCCAGGTAAGTTGGCTTTCCCTGCACAAGGGCTTCCTGTTGTGGTGCTAGAGCAGCTGAGGGCATGCGGGCTGGGAAGCATAGGTGGGCTTGGGAGGATGTGCCCTGCTCAGGGACAGTCACCGTGCCACTGTCTGTATCTCTAGTGGTGGCACAAAGGCTAAGGAAGCTAGATTTTCCTGTGAAGGCCAGTGAGGAGCCCAGGGCCCCTGGGGCTGACAAGAACCACTTCCTGAGACCCAGAGTGCCTGGAGAGGACACCAAGAAGGTAAGTGCCCCAGAAACCTGGGGCCAGAGTCCTGCCCTTTCAGGGTCCAGGGTAGCCAGTGGGGTCTGGTACTCTTTAGGGAATTGGACCAAGAGGGACAGAGAGGCAGTGATTCCTACTCTGTCCTGGGGAGACAGCTGGTGTTAAGGGCCAGGAAAGTGTATTTTTTTTTAAAGCACATTACTGTTTTACTTCATTCTGGGAATGTTTTGTGGGGTGGGGGACTCGCTCTCCACAGCTGTCACTTCTGTGGCTCCATTGAGTCTCCCTCAAGTCAAGAGATGGCAAGGCCCATACAGAGAATAGAAAGGGTGTATTGGTGAAGAGTTGCTTGTGGAATGGACTGTTCACTTTTCTCACAGTCTGTAAAGTTATTTGCCAGTTCCACTTCATCGTTTAAGATAAAAGTCATGTCTATCTTGCTTTATAAGCCCCATTTGCTGCCTCTGCATGGAGAAGGGGTGCAAAAGTTCCAGTTCGGCAATCAGGTTGGTGCAGGTTATGGCCCAGGGCAATTCAGGATTTGGAAATGCACTCAGAAAAGTTGCACAGAAGGGCTTGGCCACCTGCTGATGGTAATTAATTTTACCCTTAAAAATTAATTTGGCCTTTTCACCCACTCCAGTGTGTTTGAAAAGTTTGCCTTTTAAATCTCAGTGGCTTGTCATTTTATGTGAAGGGAGGCTGTGACAATGGTTTTTCCTGTTCTGCAGCCTCTGAGCAGCAGTCACTTGACTTAATGTGTTCTTGCTTCCTGTGGGCTGTGTGCTGGGGTCCTCAGGCCTGATTGCCAAGTGCCTGTGGTTCAGGCAGCCCTGTGTGTTCTGCATCTGCACAGGGGAGGAAGTACTGAGTGACTGGTGCTCACAGCCTTAGCCACCCCTAGTGTAGAGTAGATCTGCTGTCTACTCCATAGAACTTCCCTCAGGGAAGAGAGCTCAACCAAAGAATTGACAACACCGTTAAGAGGCCTAGACCACACAATTGTTAGGAAAGAAAGGAGTTTTTTCCTACAAACTCAGGGCCATGTGGCCATGCCAGCAAATGCATGGTGTATACCTAATCTGAGCTCTGGTCACTGAAGCTCCTGGTGCCTGCTAAGCTCTCAGAAGGCTCCGCAGCTGAGGATGGCATTGGCTGCCATTCCTTGAGCCTTGGTAAGCATTTGACCAAAACATCTCATTAATCCTTACAACTTCAGCAGTACTAGTTGTCCTCTCCATGCTTCAGGTGGTTGAGAACCTGCCCCAGAAGCTAACTGTGCTAGTTCTCTGAGGCTGCAGTTCATTGAATCCAGGAAAATCCCCTGCCCCCATGACTCGGGGACCCTTCCCTGCATTTGTTTCACTTGAGGAAAATGACCTGAGGGTGAAATGGAAAGGGAGTTGGCTGTTGCCAGGCAAGAGCCCTGTGTGTCAGGGGCCGCAGCCACGTTTGTGATCCAGGAAGTCATCCAGTTGCAAACCAGAAACTGTTCTTAACCCCTCTCTGTGGTGCACAGCAAGCTCCCTAGTTGTCCGAGTGGGGTGAGTGAATGTTGGGTGTTGAGAGCCCTGGGAACTGTCCTCAGGTCTTGCCAGCTTTAGAGCCTGGAGGGAGCCATCTGACGTCCCGGAGTTGTGCCTGCTTCTCAGTGGCAGAGTGCAGCCCAGGGATGAGAGCCAGTTCCTCTTGTTGAAGGCGCCTCCTGAGTGCCTTGGAGACAGACGAGCCTGCTGTGCACTTGATGACACATGCATCGGTCCCCGTGTCTGCGCCTCCTCTCCCCTCACCTGAGGTGTAAAGCTTGCTGGAGAGCAGTGGGGACTATCTCCCACCCTCTGTGAGCCCCCAGGTCAGTTCAGCAGCTCCATGTTCTGGTTGGCCTGCAGGTTCTCTGACCATGAAGCTGCTGCCAGGCCTCTTGTCAGGAGAGGGTTAACAGGGGATTTGTTTATTGAATCACAAAGTAGTTGTCACATGATTTTAATCAAAACACCATTTCCCTGACAACAGTGATGTCAGTCTTGTTATTGCAGGAAGGAGCAGCTGTGAGGGACGTTCAGTCTCCATGCGAGACCAGGTTTGGAGACTCACATCAAGTGAAGCATCCATAAATAATGATCGCAGACACTCTTGGAGGCTTATGGAATCCACCCTCCTCTTCCTTTTCTTCTGTCTGGACAGTTTGTCTTGTAGAGACATTCACCAGACCCTAGTTCCTGCACCGAGTCTCAAGCTCAGACTTCACCTTTCTTATCACATGCTCTCTACCCTTGAGTCTACTGCTGGCTTTTTCTGTTTTCCCTCTTTCCCCCAACTCAGTTACTTGGGCCCTTGGGGCTCTGGTCTGTGCCTTCAGGCATCTGTCTCCTCTCTGGGACCTAATCCCACTTGTAGGTGACCCAGGCTCTGTGGCTAACCTGAAGTGGGGGCCATTCTGCTCAGGCATCTGGCTCATCCCTCAGAATGTGTATGTGGGGTAGGTGCTGCTGAGGGTGTTGAGCAATTCTGAGTCCATTTATGGATACCTGAAGGGCAGGAGTTCAATGGCCCAACCTCTTGTCCGGTGGATTAGTGCTCTTGAATCCAGAAAGACTACAGGAGGCCCAAGTTCAGTCAAGAGACCAAAGACCACATGTGGGGATGTATCCTTTATCACATCCCCAGAGGCCTTCCAGCTAGGGGAATTGGGTCCCAAAGTTCACCAAGAGGTCAGAAAGTAGGCTGGTCCCAGGGCCAGCTAGAGCAGTGTCCTCAAGTTCCGGCCTCCTGTCTGTGCCTTTTCAGCTGTGGGGACTTGGGGACTGGGGAGCCAGCTCTACACAGAAAGACTACCCTGGTCCTACCAGCTGCTCTTCACCCAGGGGCTTGACCTAAAAGGTAGGAATGAGAAAGGCTTTCTAGATAGGACACAGATTCTCAAGGATGGTCTTTTCCTTGTACCCGCGGCTGATGCTGTCCAGAATTCATCTCCAAACATTCAGAAAACCCAGGGCAAAGTTTTTGGGTCTTAAACTGCAGCAACAAGTGGTCAGAATGGGGCAGTCACCCTTAAGTCTGTAAAGAGAGACTTCACAGGCACACAGCTTGTTTCTGGTCCAGTGTTGGGACAGAGTTGGAGCAAAGACAGGTAGAACGGTACTGTGACAGGCCATCCAGGGTGGTGGCAGAGTCTTCTGGGTGCTTTAATTTTAGGGCAGTGCTGTGACAGGCTGTGCTGAGCCTCAGGATAAATCTGGAGTTGAACCTGCCAGTCTGTTCCCAAGTCACCACTGGAGACAACAGGCCTTTATGGTGTTTCGCCTGGGTGAGTGGATGAGCTGGGAGTGGCCCCCAGGGACTGAGGACTTGGTCAGAGGTTCTTTGCTGCCTTCTGGGCATCCCTGGCAGAGCAGGGGTAAGCATCACTTGTTCAGAGTGCCTGTCTAGCAGAGTGGCTGCCCTGGGTGAGATGGGAAGCTGGGCCTTGTTTTCCCTAGCATTGTTTCTTGTGGGCCCCTCCTTTGCTGACCAAACTTGGGCTTCTGTAGTGACCTCAGGCAGTTCCAGTAGGTTCTAGCCTAGACACAGGTAAGACTGTGAACTGGGCCCTTTGCGTGGTGTGCTTTGGGGCAAGGTTTGGTGGCTTTCTCTCAGTTTACTTGTGTCCCATCCCATTGCCAAGGGGGTGGGCAGCTCAGGGTCAGAGTTCTTAGGGAGGCCGCCTTTTAGGCATCTCAGGCCCCATTATTCCATCTTTGGGGAATGAGGAGGAGGAAGATTGAGTCAGAGCTCTTAGAGCCTGTCTGAGGGAAAAGAGTGACTAAGTTCTCCCTTGAGAAGATGAATCCCAATGCCTCACTGTCTCTGGAGCTTTCTGCACAGCCAGCTTTGGTATTCTGGCTCCAGCGAGAAGGCATTTTCACGCACAGGGTTCTTCCTCCTTCCCAGGCAACTTGCTTGTTTTACCCAAGATTGGGCCTTCTCTGTGCCGATCCCAGGCCAGTCTGAGTCAGTCGGGCTCAGAAAGCCACAGAGACATGCATAGGAAGGGAGGAGGCAGTGCTCCCTGTGGGCCTTTGCAACTGTAGCTCTAGGAACTCTGCCACATGGGCAGACTGGGACGTCTGTAGCAAATGCCTCACTCTGCCCAACCTCAGCTTTGGCCTTTTGAGATCTGTGGTCTTTGGTACCTGGATGGAGGCAGGTGTGTCAGTGTCAACTCTTTCTGAGGTGAGGGTCCAACCCCTTCAGTTCCGACAAGATTCACATCTGTCTTCTCATGGACATTGCCTAGTAGATCCACACACATTCTTCCATCCCAGGAGAGCTGCTCAGCCTTTGAAGTCCTTAGCTGGAGCCAAAACAAAAGCATAGTTTTGCTCTCATGATGAACCCTCAAGGCAGAACAAACCATGGTTTGTGCAGGTGACGTTGCCTTTGTAGCTACACAGCCCTAAAGATTTAATGCACACAAGCCAGAACTCTTTTTGGGCTGCAGGCAGAGCAGGAAACTCCCCCTTATGTGAGTCCACCAGGGACAGAGCAGTGTATCCTTGGCAGGGAGGGTCCCTGTAAGAATGTTAACTAACAGATATTCTTCCCCTCAGTCCACAACGGGTCTTATGGGACCCCGGAACCACCTCCTCCCCAGATAACTGTCCTAGTTAGCATCTACAGTCATCTGTGACCCCTCAATTTAAGATCTAACAGGGTAGAAAAGAGCAGCTCACAAGAATAGAACCTTGGGCTTGTTCACAACCCAGCCTCATGTGGTAATGGGAGACTTTGAAGGTGTGGTTACTGACGCCACTTCTGAAGTTGGCCAGGCAGAGGCCACAGGGCTGGCGCTCTGGCTTCTGTGGCCCTGTCCTTCCTTATACCTGCCTGAGTGGAAGACTTCCTGAGCAGTGAGCTGGGGGCCTGTCAGTGTTTGCTGGCAGGACTGCTGTTACTGCCTGTGTCCTGGGGCATTGGGGTTATTTTGGCAGCACAGCAAAATGATGGAGAAATTCAGTGGGAAAGGGAAAAGTCTGCAAAACACAGTTACTGAAATTTAGTGTTTTCCTTTAAAAAAAAAAAAAAAAGGAAACTCAGGGGTACTGAATTCTTGGGTAGCCAATGTGTGTATATATATATATATGAGCTGTTTGAAGTCAGGACTGAAGCAGTGAGCGGAGCTGTGATGCGGTGTTCACAGTGAGGGCTCTGCCCTCCCAGCCCTGTACTGCCTGCCAGCCCACCAGTGAGCAGCCATTCCTTAAGCTGGGAACTGTCCTGGTTCTATCAATCATGGGCTCAAGAGAATGGTTTGAGTGAGTGAAACCAAATCTCAGTTGAACCTGCTGCCAGAAAGCAGGGTTTAATCCTGCCCTTTCACTCAGGGCCTGACTCTTCAAGTCCAGAATGTATGTGTATGTGTGGGTGAACAGCTGTGCAGAAGGTCTCTCCAGTACCTGAGAGCCCTGGCTTGAATCTCAGACAATGGTTGTTTCTGTGAAGACTTCATAGTGTGAGACTGAGTGAGCAGTTTGAGTCTTTGGCAGACCCCAGAGAAGAGGTGACATTGTGACTGAGTAGCAGTGTCTTGCTGGCCTTCCTGGCAGCGTGGAACATATACCTTACCTACTTGTGGCCCTGCAGCTTTTGCCTATTCTGGGGGAGCCAGACAAGAGCTCTGTGTGCTTGTCATTCCCCCCGCTGACAACACACACACACACACACACACACTCACTCTCTCTCTCCCTCTCTCTCTCTCTCTCTCTCTCACTCACACACTCCTGCAGCCCAGGGCCCTTGTCCAGACTACCTGGGCTGATGGACTAATTAATGAGGCCCAGCGGGGCCCTGTCCATGTGTAGGCTGTGGTTGGCAGAGCTTCCGTCAGCGATCTGCAGCGGCTAACGTGTACTCAGGCGATTCAGAACAAGGTATTATTTACCCTGCTGACGTCAATGGGAACATATTATCCACTGTCCTTTTCTGCAGCCTGAAATGAGCACCCGTTCTCAGAGAATGCAGCACCTTCCAGTTTTAAAACTCTACCCACGGCCTGATGGAGGCCCACCTCGTTAGCCTGACATTCATATCACCCAGGCTCTTAGAAAACAAGTTGTTTTTATTTTAATTCAAGAGGATTGGAAACATAAAAACAGTACATTTTCCTTGCAGAAAACTACCCCGTTTAAGTTACCATTTGGTACAAAGATCATTTATTAAACTGCATTTTAGGCGACTTTCTAACATTGAGTGTGACAGGTTACACTTTGATTTTTTTTCACATTGGAGCTATTATGATTTGCACTCAAAATACCAAAGCTGTTGAACTCACTAATTTTTCTTAGTAATTAAGGACACAGAAAAAAATAGCTACAATTAGATTAAGTTTAGCAAAAGTAACACTCACAGACCAGATATCCAGCAAGACTGCCCTCTCCCTTTAGAAATGAGCAGACAATCTTGCCCTTCCCCCAAATGCAAAAACTGTTACAGTTTTTATTTCTGAAGCTGCAAGCCCCAAAGACAAGCCAACCTTCATGTCTCTCTGCTTCTTTCCCCTTCATAGACTGTAGTGAAGGCAGATTTCTTTTGCCACAAGTAGTGAGAAGGTGCGACTACTTGAATTTCCTTGACTGAGAAGACCCTGAGCTGGCATCACAGCCAGCGCAGGCCCAGCTTATCTGGATTTGCTGATGTAACATTATTCCATCTGGGGTCCTATTTTTCCAGAATGTTGTGTTTCTATTTTTAAAGCTCCCCCTTACCCAACTCATTTTGGCTCTATTAGGCAAAGTATTTGCTGAAAGCATGTTATTTTTTTTAATCCTAAAAGTGTCTTAATAAGCTCTCCTACTTGATAGGACTTAACTGTAAAGAAATGCTATGTATCTCCTCAGGATAAAGGCTGACTTTTCTTTCTGAGCTGCCCCCTTCCTGGGGTTGCATCTGTTGACCTGTGGTGGTGGCTGATGTGCAGTTCGGCCCCTGGCAAACCAGGAGGGTATGTCCTTCCATCACATGCCTCTTGAGGAAATTACGACATTGTGCAACTTGGAACAAGTAAACATCTGATGTGAGCCTAAACTCCTGTAGTTTACTGGACACCGAGAGGAGGGCCAAAATCTGTGGGGTCCATGTCTGTCTCAGCTTTGTCCAATGCATGGCCACCTGAACAGCTGCAGTTGTCACCTGAAGGGCTCAAGGCAGCTGTCAAGTGGAGGGTACAGCTGTGGGGACAGCATTCTATTCACCCAGTGCCTGACCACAATGGGGGCTTTGTGGATACAGCTGCTTGCTTATGAAGAGCTCGGTGCCCTGAGGAGGGGAAGAGGGTTCCTTGACAGTGAGAAGGTTACAAACCAAAGCCAGAAAGCTAGTCAGTCCAAGTGCTTGTCCTGGCTCCTCCACTTATGAGCATGACCTTGGCTAAGTCATGTCCACTTTCAAGAGCTCTGCTTTCCTCAGCTAGGAAAATAAGGACAATATCTCCCCAACTAATTTCATAGAATTTGTGAGGATTACAAGAGATTATATGTGAAGGTGTTTGGTAAATTAATGTAAAAATAGAAGCGATTGATCCTTTCGGATAGGCGAGCTCAGTATTTGGGCAGAAACCATCAAACTGATTGCTGGCTAAGCCTCTGGGCAGCGCTGTGGCTTGTTTCTCAATCTGCCCACTGGCATGTGCTGAGTCTGCCAAACATGTTGAAATCGCCCAGATAATACGTGAGCAGAAGGTGGTGGCGCATGTAGGATGGTTGAGAGTCTTCTAGACTCAGCTGGGCTGCCTTAACTGGGAAGAAATGGTGAAGCAATTACTGAGAAGATGTGGGAGATCAGAGACTTCAGGGGCAAAAGGGGCCTTGAAAGACTCCCCTAGTCCACCCTGCCACTTCTTAGGGCAAACGGAAAAGCTCTGGCATCTTAGGCACTTCCCTGGGCCACAGGCCAGGAAGACACACTACAGGGTCGGTCAGAAGAAGCATATACTTTTTTTTTAAATGTTATTTTGTTCCATTTATAAACAGGCAGATAATACTGCTCGTCTTCTGTAAATCATTCTGAACATAATGAGTTCTGTAAAAAATGTCCAGAAGCAACAAAAACAAAGATCCCTGCCTATTCAATGTCTCCAACTTACTTACTACCTGTTCTCCAGTTTTTACCTTTGATGTCTAGGCACAAAGAGACCGAGCGGCTTGGGTGGCTTCCGAGGAGGCAGTAGAGGCAGCCCACTTTAGGGGTACCAGTGCAGCAAAGGTCAGCCCTGCACTGGAATTCTGCAACTGCTCACTGGGACCAATGTTCTAAATGATACTACGTAATGTCTAACTGAGGAGGAATGTGGAGATTATCTGGAGTGTGAATTTTCTTTAAACCAGTGGTGACTTAAGTATAACTGCTCACAGTTGTTTTTAAAATGTAATCCAGAGCAGAAAAACCCTGGTCCCAATATCTGTAAGACACGGACTTGTCTAGAGGTTGGAGAGCCCTGCCCAGGAGCCAGCACTCTCTGGGTGCCCATGTCCTGAGCTGTCTCACACCTGGGGCCCTTGATTAGCTGTCACTGGAAGCTGCTGCTTTTCACTTTCCTGAAGTTTATGGCATATCACCAAATCCCTCTCTGCTGGGAACATGCCCTTCTTCCCAGTTTTAACACCTAGGCCAGGGTTCTGAGTTTCCCTGACTTTGGCATAATGACACAGCACGTGGGCAGACGGGGAGAGGTCAGGCCCAGGAGTCCTTGCTGTACGCCTGCCAAGGGCTCGGTTATTGAAGGGGATGGGGTGAGGTGGAGGGGATGTTGTCCCTACAACAGCACGTAGCCCCCAGTACTAAAGTCAGGAGGGAGCACGAGAGGCGAGTGCTCATTTCAGTCCCACACCTGTGACACCAGGACAGTTTAAACACTTGCAAGTTCTTAATTTCCGAGGAAGAAAGGGCCCTGACTTCTCTACCCTGGGAGGCAGTCTGACACGGAGGAAGGGCTTTTGCTCAGATCAGCTCTAACAGTCCTTCAGTCCCATCTCTAGTCACCTCCTGGGGACCCCCATGTTATGATCTTGGAGGGTTTGAGGTGTAGAAAGCTGTCCCCTTTATAAGGTGGCAAGAGGGCAGACAGGCCTAGCCAGGCAGGGTACGGGCTGGTAGGCAGCTCCCTGGGGGTTCAGAAGCAGACACCACCCTCTTTCTGTTTGCCTTACAGGGATCAGCATGTCAGTTCATGTAAATATTAGAGACACAGTTGCCCAGCTGGAAACTGCAGAACTAGTGCATTTCCCCCAAAGCAGAGCGTAATACCCCTGGATTCAAAAAAGATCATAAACAAAAAAATTAAAAAAGTACCACACATATTGCACTTTTTTGCTGAATGAAATTTTTACCTTGCCGTCCATCTCACCAGAGACTCTTGGAGGAGCCTGGTTCCCAACCTAATAAAGCTAATGATTAGTGTCCAGTAGTGAGCACACTGCTGATGGGAAACAGACTGGCAAGCAAGTCAGGATCTCAAAGTCACCGCTCATCAAGAGTGGTCCTAAGCCTTCTTAGTGTTACCTTAGCATTGGTGAAGAGAACACTGCTCAGAAGCTTCCTGCGGTCACTAGGTAGGGGATAGAACAACAGAGGCGATTGGTCAGATGGCTGAGCGTATGCCTAGCTGACCCACAGAGCCAGTCTCTTCTCACCAAGCTTACATCTCAGGAAATACAGGTGGTTATGGAACTTAGTGATTTTGCTGGGAATAAGTGATAAGCAAAGGAGCTCACGACGAGGTGCCAGCAGGAGGGGTCGTGCTCTTCTCCAGGTGACTGTCCACATCACTGCTCTGTCTGTTGGTGCCTGACAGGCCTGGCCGCTGCTGGGTGCTTCCCGACTTCTCTCTGCATCTTTTTTCAGCCAGCCTTTCCACAGTCCCTATCTGTCACCTAACTGACCTGCCACAGCTCCTAGGTATCCTGGGCTAAGCAGCTCACAGTCCTTCTGGGGCTTAGGAGTTTATGTCAGTGTACAAGTGCCATTCCTGCAGTCCTGAAATGAGCAGCCCCCACTTTCAATCTGGAAGGCATTTTCATTTCATCAATATTCTAGCGCTTCTGCAGTGTAGTTTGGGAAAGCATCCTCCTTTAGTCTAAACAGATCAAGCCCTGTTTTATAACTGGCTTTCTTTGCAAAGACTTCAAAGAGATTATAATGAAATGATCTCACAAATGAAATGATGTTCTTTATCTCATGAAATCATCAGTCTTAAGCACAAGGAGGAATAAACAACCCATAAAAGGATCAGAATTCATTCTTTCTGGATTTTCACTGTGTTATTAAATCACGAAAGTGACAGTCCCTCCTGCTACCCTTCCCTGCTGGCACCCAGAGCCCAACTCCAAGCAGAGTGCCTCTGCAGCCTGGCACCAGCGGGGGCTGTGACAGCTAGGCAGTCTCTGGCAAGCCACAAGGACTGCTCAAGTCACCAACATTGGCAGGGGCTGGGCTGGGGGCCAAAACGGCTCTTCCGTAAACTCCCATGCTCTCCTCACCTGCCTGGACACTTACTACAAAGAGGAAAGGCAACTTAAAGGTGTTCTAGATGCAGCATCAGTGTAGTATCTCTCTTCTTGTGCTTTAAGGAAGACGCTTGTGCTTAGCGCATTCATCTGCTGATAGGACAAGCCACTCTAAAGGACAGAAATTATAAGTTTTTATAAATAATACTGAACTGTTAACATCTGGATGTCACTGTCCAAATACCAGATTATTCATTATGCCTAGGCACACAGTTAACTAGCTGTAGTATCTATTTTTCACTTACTTTGGTGAGTAAATTGTATGGGTTAAGTTTTTCTAGAAATATAGATGATCTGCTTAAATGGTTAACACATCTGTGATTCTTTGAATATTGCTGTAATACTTGAATATTTCAGTACAAGTCAAAACCTTAAGGAAATTAAGAATGCCGATTCCCACATGGTGGAAAACAAACTGAAGTAACTTTGGATTTAGCACTGACATAAATGGAAACTGGATTTCTACCGAAAAGAAAGAATTGAAGTATGACTGGGGGAAAGGCACAGCACGACCACTTCACATGGGACATAAAAGTTCATTTTCTGAATCCTTAAAATGTCTGAGCCCTATATAAAACTGTCCAAATATGCAAAGCTCAATAAACTATTAGCAATAGTATAAGTCAAATAGTGTAAGTCAAAGGAGTTACTATGTGGTGGAAGAGAAAAGTCCCCTGGAGATGGACCTCCCACCCACAAGTCTCCACCAGAGACTGCACAGGAAGAGCCTGGCTTCCTGGCCCAGGGCTGGGGCTCCTTGTGCTTTCCCGTTTCTTGCACCAAGCCTCCATGGTGGTGGGTTTCCTGTTGGTTCTATGGGTGACATGTTTGGAGCCCTGAGTATATTCTGACTCTTGGTAACTCGGGCACTTCTGCACAGGTGCATCACTTGCTCCTAGATGAAGACTACAGATCTCAGGGGTCAGTGCCAGCTGTTATTTAGTGGCCCCTGAAACAGAGCTCCTGCTCTACTGCTTTGCGATGGTCAGTCTTGGAGACAACCTGCATCAGCAGCCAAAAACTTACGACTCAATGGCCAAGCACGGCTTTCCTTTATTTCCTGTGCATCAAATTTCATTACGTATTCTTGATTTGCCTTGAAGCAGTGTGTGGTGGCCTTTTTGGTTCGGCCTATGGAAATTTATGCAACGCACACATTCTTCCTGCTTTCACCAAGGTTCCCCTTGATAACGAACTGGTGTAATCCTGCATAAAGCCTATGTATAAATGTTGTCGTCTTATGAAAACATTTGTTGGTGCCTCTCTTGGGAGCTTGTTACACCTTACTTAAGGGCCTGAGCTTCAGCCTACAACTATATTCCAACGCTTGCCCACAGAGAACTTTGTGGTAGGACAGAGCCAGGAGGAAGAACATCCATCCCAGCCAAGCCCTCTGATTCCAGTTGGGCAACTTCATTTTTTTCCCCATTAGGGAAAGGGCAAGAAAATAAGCTTTAAATTTAAAAGGCTGGAATAAAAATAGAAGTACAGTCTGCCTTCATTAGCCCCAACTCACTTCCTGTGCTGAGATTAATTCACCAGAACATACCCATTGTGTTGTGGGTCCACGGCGTCTAGCATTTCACAATCAAAGAGTCCAGGGAGCTCAGAGAGGGCTAGCGGGTCATAGCTGGAGGAGGCCTCCTGCAGTCCTGAGCTGGGACAGTCCGGGCCTGAGAGACCACTCTGCTGGGCTCCGTCCACTGGATACTGACAGGGAGTAGCATAGTCTGGTGCCGACGAGGTGGCACTTGGCAGCTCACAAGTCTGATAGGAGAACTGTAAGGGGGCTGGAGCAGCTCCTGGCTGCTGTGGTGGTGGAGGAGGTGGTGGGGGTGGTGGCTGCTGCTGCTGCAGCTGCGTGGACAAAGGAGGTGGAGCCCGGGGACTGGGCGCCGAGGGCAGGGACTGCAGCTGCATCTCCTGGTACTGGCTGAGGAAAGGGGTGTATTGCATCTGCTCGGAAGAGGGCTCCAGGACGGGGCTCAGGGGCTGGGTCAGGCTGAATGGCGGGGGCTGCTGGGACGGTGGTGGATTCTCCTGGTGGGGAAGGGGCAGCTGCTGATTTGGCTGAGGGTAGGAGCTCTCCGCTATCTGCATCTGATTAAAATACGCCTGCAGCTGAGATTGCTTCTGGAGGAAGAGCCGCTTCTGTTGGAGCCTAAATTGGTAACACCAAAGGAGAGCATGTGAAATCTTCTCAAGTAGAGGCCATTTTCATGTCAATCTAATACCAGGCATTAGATTCAGTCCCCACTTCTGTATTTGGGGGAGGGGTGTATGAGACAGGATCTCACTATGTAGACCAGGCTGGCTTAGGACTCACAATTCTCCTGTCTCAGCTTTCTGAGTATTGGGATTACAGGTGTGAACCACCACACCTGGTAATCCCCCACTTCTCTTTTCCATGCAAGGAAAAAAAAAGCGGGAGTAAGAACTCACCATCTTGGGTTTCTGAAACTTAATTTCACTTTTTGCTCCTAATTTTGATAGACCTCAGTGCTAAGTGGGCAGGAATGAACTGAAGATACTGAGCTTCTCTCACTATGAAGTGAGAGGCTGATTTCTCATCCCAGTTGTGCAGAAGGGGAGGTAACACCTTGGCCTCTGTGGATGTCTGAAGGTTGATGAATCAGGGTAATTCTACCTTGGCCAAGCTGCTGCTACTAGTGAGGCCTGCGGGCACGAACAGCAGCAAAAGAGGAGGCCTCAGCAGTCGAACCCACTTACGGTGCTTTAGGCCACTGATTCTGAAAGCTTAGGTCTAGTCACATCCCAGGGGTAAATGCTGGAAGAAAGGAAAACAAAGTGCATTTTGGGGCTGCTGTTCTTCAGGCCCATACTCCATGGATGCTGGAATAGCCTCAGCATCATTCTTGGAAAGACTGCACATGCACTGAAACCTGTGTCTCCAGAAAAGGGCAATGCACCCAGCATTCTTCAGGCTGCCATGAAAGTAAGTGACCGAAGAAGCCCTCACCTGTGTTCCTGCAGCTGCTGCTCCAGACTCCGAGGTGGTTCTTTACAATAAAGCTGACAAGTGTTCTGGGCCTTTGACAAAAGGCTGGGTTTCTGGAAGAGCAGAAAAGGAATACAAGCATGACCATATGCTGCCATCTAGGATGTAGTTGACAGACCGTTTCTGCCTGGAGGGGGAATCCAAGTTTGGGCTCCAGAATCTACATGGGGCCTTCAAAGGGACTGATGTTCACCCTTTGAGCCCCAGAAATGTATGGGGTCAGCAGGCCAGCGTTGTCTCAGATCTGCTCTAATGTTTCCTACATCTAGGAATCCCCAGGGACTGAAAGGTTCATGGAGAACAAGAAAAGTAGGCTTAAATCATCCACATTTGCTGAATAAATGACTGAGTCTTAATGGGATCTATACAGTTATCATTTCTTAGGATTCTCATGTACTGTGTAGACAGCCCATGTTAACATCTTGGAGACTTGAAATTTCCTTTTTTTTTTTTTTTTTAGTATTCTCTATTAAGTATAAAATTAGAAACAAGTAGGTCAGGGCTTCCTTTCCTCCACTCAGTACCTTATCCTTTTCAGGGCCTGAGGACCCATCCTTTCCCATTGCCAACAGAATATAAGGCTAAGTCTGAACATGTTTCTAGAAACTGCAAGTACAGAGTCAGTCCTACCTGCCTATAAGGAATATAGTGTCTACCCTCTGTAAACACCAAGTGGAACAAGTTTCTGCTTTACAGAAAGGCAGGTTCTGCATGGACAAAGTGAGCTGGACTAATAAGGAGAAGGATCCCACCTGGAGTCTATGCTGCAGGTATTGGGTTTCCAGGCTTTGCCTTGGGGAAAGGTGAGGGTGCACACTGGCAGGGAGAGTGGAGATGCTTTCCTGTTGCTGAGAAACTTTCTCCTGAGAAGCAAGGGAGGGAAAAATTTCAACTTTCCATGTAAGAACGTTTCAATTCTTACTTTATGTACCTTTGCAAATGACTCTGTAAGCCATAATACTCAAAGCCTTTACATATCTAACAGGTGAAGGTTACTGACTTTGCAGAGAACTTCGACCTGCATGATCTGTCGCTAACTATTGCCTAGTAGTGCATGGACCTCAAACACTATGGAATCCTTGACGCAATGAAAACGGGTTCAAAATAAAATTTACTGGATAAACAGCAACATTTATTATATTTTAGCATGAACAATCCACTTACAATATTTAATATAGCGACTCACATTAAAGTAGTGGCAAAGGTTCAGAAAGCCAAAGGCCACATGTTCTCTTTCATATGTCGGGGAGAAGACACAATACGAATACAAGCAATATTATGAAAAACAGGTCATGCTAAGGGGAGGTCAATAATGAGAGAAGGAAGTTCAGAAAGCGAATATGGTTGATATACTTTCTATGCAAGAATGAATATAGAATTTTTAAACCTGTTGAATGAGAAACAAAGGGGGTGGATCACTTTGGGTTATAATACATATATACATGGACATGTCACAATGAAACACCCTATATAGCTATGTTAAACAAACAAAAATATCTCTTTTTTCAAACACTGAGAACAGGAAGGTAAAACACTTGCAGTCTGGGAGGCTGGTACCGGAGGGAAAGGCGGATATAAGGAGAGGAGGTTGGAGGGTGAATGTGGTGGAAATATTCTGTACACGTGTATGTAGCTGGAAAAATGAGAGCTGCTGAAACTATTCCAGGAACGGGAGAAGGGGAAATAAAGGAGAATGATGGAGGGGTGAATTCAACTATGAGATATTTTAAGAAATTTTATAAATGTCACAGTGTACCCCCAACAATAATATGATAGTTAACAAAGGGAGAAAAAAAGTAGTGGCAAGAAGCTTCCCATTTGGGTGGCCTTTATTATTCTTCATTTGTGTGTTTGTGTGCTTGGCTGGGGGGTCAAGGAAGACTGTGAGAGTCAGCCATCTACAATCTGCCTGTGACCCAAATCTGGCTTGAGTGTGTCTAGGCCTCCATCTGGTACTGACCACCTGGAGCAGCATGGGTGGGTCTAGGCTGTCAGTGGCGGCAATAAGGAAAGTTTTCAGACTGGGTTTTCCTTAAGTGCCTGCCTGTCCAGGACCACAGAGCATCCTCTAAGGGAAACCCCCCTCTTCAGGACAAACCCAGTCTCATACTCAGAGCCATGGTAGGTGGGTAAAGCCAGTGCAACCACCTGAGGGCAACTGCTGGTGAGGTCTTGGAGCTGAGGAGCAGCTGATGCCAAGTTAGGATCTGCCTCTGAGCCCATCTGCTCATAGAGCAGCTGCACTTTGTTCAACTCCAGAATTCCTTTGGTTCTAGCCAGATTCTGTAGATGTTGTCTAAATGCTACAATTCCTAAAAGAAAGTACAAAGAACAGATAGTTTTTGTAAAACTCAAGGTCTTTTAGTGATCACAGTTCATACCATCATAGCAATAACCCTCTCAACTGTTCTGATCCGAGTTTGGAAAGCCAGAGTAAGCACTTGCCTTGGGTAAGGGAGGTATCCGATGCCCTGCGGCCTTCTCTGAAGCTCACTGGTGATCGGTTGTGGACCTCACGTTTCTGGGAGCTCAGAGCCTGCATGGCTGGGTTGGCAGGTCTCAGGCTTATGAAAGGCGAGGTCATGCGGGGTGAGGGCTGATTGGCTAACATGATGTCCTTCAGGGAAGGGTTGTCCTCCAGAAAGTTGAGGTCCCTCTGAGCAGACCCCATATCATACTCAGAGTCCACACTGTCAAGGGAGGGGTTGTCACTCATAGAGAAAATTTTCCCTTTAAGAGAAAACAAAACAGATATAACCAACAACAGCAGCATCTTCTCTGAATTCAGTAATGGCGCAGGAGGCGCTTTAGCCTCGACAGCAGCAGCGTCCTTCATCTACTCAGGAGGCAGAGGTAGGAGGCTCACTTGAGCCCATAGTTTTAGATCATTCTGGGCATCAGAGCAAGAGAGCTCCCATTTCCCCCCCAAAAAAATCTTTTCCAGGCTGGGGAGATAGGGACATAGTTCAGTGGTCGATTGCACGCCTAGCAGTATAGGCCCTTAGTACTGCAAACAAACCAACCAACCCACCCCCACCTTTTCAGAACCCTTTTACAGGCAATTTAAATATCTGAATTTAGTGCGAAGCTGTACCTGTAATATCTTGGCTGCTCTAAGGGAGCCAGAGGCCCTGAGGAAGTACACTGCACCCAAAGAACCCTAGAACGGGTTTGTTTTAATCTTTGTTAGCTGCTGAGAAGGCCTCAACTACATAGCCCACTACATCTCTCCACAAAGCATAATGGTGTCATTACTACCTCTTGGTGACTGGAGTATAAATATGAAGAGTTAACCTGGCATTTCTCTGATACCATACCTGCCCCAGGCATCACGACCAGTTGGTTGGTCACTTCTGACAGTGTGTGCCTTCGCTGCCCACTGCGTGTGGCCTGGAAAGCTTCAAAGGCATGACTAGGGTCTTCCTCGGCTTCCCCTTCTGTCTCCAGCCCTTCATCAATGGAGGTCTCCATCACGTTGCTAGGCAATGACTGGCATCCCTTCCTCACCAGGACAGGAGGCACAGGGTCAAGAAGACAGCCGTTTACCTAAATGTCAGGGGCATGAGGGGAAACTATCAGTTGGTATTCTGCAAGGACCTCGAAAAATGCCAGGACTTGTAGCAAATTAGAAAGTAATTAAATATTAAGAGTGCACGTAATTATTTATTTCTAAAGGCAACACATAGATTAGAAGTTAAGGCAAGTCAACTGCAGCACTAGAGACAGAGCCAATTATGACACAAACTGGCCCGGCCACCCAGGTTATTCTGAGTCATCACTACGACAATAAACACTTCTTTAGTGGTTTCCTGATGAAGAGGGGTATGTTAGCTCGAGGCCTACCAGGTTTTGTTTTTTAATAAGGGAAACAAAGAGGGGGAAAATGAGATTTTTTTTTTTCAAGTACATGGCTCGTTGGTAAAAGAAAAGAGTAGTCACCAATATTTTTCTAATTTTGAACCACGAAACACACTGGAGGATACCAGACATAATCTTAAGTACCTGCCCATTAGACTTTAACTAGTTCTGTGTGCCTGAGGAATAGAAAGTAAGAATTCTTTGAAGACACACAGATATCACAAAAAGGATTAAAAAAAAAATTCAAATGGCAAACAGCCAAAGCCTTCCATTATAGAATAGCAAATGACTCACAGCCCCAAATTCCAGCAGAGGTTAATAAACGCCAGCATACGGACTTCTCTCCCCTCCAGCACTTCATACAGGATCTACAGTTCCTGTGTCCCAGGAGAGCTCAGCTTGGCTCTGGGTTAGCACTCCGCCTTCCTGTGCAGTTGCCAAGCAAGCCACCTAATGGCAGGCAAAACAGTGCACAAGGGGCAGTTGTGGTTTTGAGTTCTTCTGGCTGGTAAAAGCCCCAAAGAGGAGGCAATTATTTACCTCATTACCCTAACTACTCCCTGGTGGAAATCAATCCATTTTCCCCTTGGAATTAGCTGCTCATGAGCAGCCAGGAGAGGCGCTCGGTTCTAAGCACTACTTTCACCTGGAACACACAGGGTCGAGCTATTGTTTCCTCTGAAGCAGAAGCACTCATGCATGGGAGAGGTGACGTGGGGCAGCTCTGTGCCAGACACAGGAAACTTTCCTCTTATGGCAACCATCTGAAGGCGTTGTAAGGCCCTTTCTTTGGACAGGGAGAGCTGGTGACTCACAGCTTTGTTTGCATGGGGGAGGAGATGCTTAGTCCCTAAAAACTATCCCAGGGCTGTTCCTTAGCCAAGGTGAATGATGCATTGCAGGACTGTGTAGTGATGAACGGTCGCTTCCAAGGAAGAGTGGCAGATACCTTCTTCCTGGACCACACCGATCTTCCCCTGGTACCAGAAGACAGAAACCTGAAATCTGACCAACAACCCATTCTCTCCTTGGCCCTTCCCCAGATATGTTTTGCTGGTTACTTTTTTTGTTTTGTTTTTTGTTTTTGGTGGTACTGGGGTTTGAATTTAGGGCTTCAAACTTGCTACGCAGGTGCTCTACCACTTGAGCCACTCTGTCAGCCCTGTTTCGTATTTTCAAGATAGGGTCTTATGACTATTTGCTCAGGCTGGCTTCCAACTGAGATCCTCCTGATCTCTGCTCCCCGAGTAGCTAGGATTACAGGCGCGAGCCACTGGCACCTGGCTAAGTTTTCCCTTTTGACACTACTAAATAGTTTTCTTGTCGGAAAGAAGGCTGAGAACTTAGATTCATATTTCCAGTCAACTTAACTGGCTACTAATCCAGTTTGCTGACCATAGCCTCAGATGATTTTAAATGAATAAAGCAACAGAGAAAAGGATGTTAGTAATGAATTATCCTCTGAGCATCTTTTTACTCACAGCCTCTGTCAAAATTTTACCAGACATTTCTTGCAGCATAAGACATGTAAGCAGATTCTTTAGTTCTCCTTAATAGAGAAAAGTCAGCTTTTCCCAAGTCACCCAAAATACCCTGTGATACCCCTAATTTTACTTAAATTGGCACCTTATAAGTTTATCTCCTCATGTAGACTAGAATAGGAATTAGGTGTTTGATAAAAAAACAGTGGGGGAATTCAATTTCTTCCTGCTACAACTACAAAATAATGGTCTGAATTTTTTTTAAAAACTGATCTGACTTTTCATCCTGGACAGGTAGAAAACAGTGCTCTGATGTTTGATGAGGAGTGAATGGCTCAAGTGGTAGAGTGCCTGCCTAGCAAGCGTGAAGCCCTGAGTTCAAACCCCAGTACCACCAAAAGAAAACATTTAGTGATGTTTGATAAAGAGTAAGAAAGCCCATTGGGGTGGCTTATAGTGAACAGGTATGAGCACCCTCAGTCATGAGTTCAGGTTTCCCTGAAGCAGCTGGACATCATACCATCTGCACCTGTAAATTTACTCAGGATTTTCTTAGCAAGAGCCTAAACTCAGCTCTGGGACTTATGATGGAAATATGGGGCTGATCCACCTAGCTGACTTAAGCTGCTGCCAGAAATAAGATTTTTAGTTCTAGGAAATAATCTAGATTGATATCAATGGTAGGATTTCAAAATACAATGTGGGTGAAATGTACATTGTCTAATACATTGCTTTTGTCTTTCCTTATCATATGTATAGGTGGTATTCATGTAGGAGTTAGACCCACGGCACCACATCGCCAACTGAAAAAGGTCCTAAGCCCACTGCAAGTCTAAGATTCTAGCAGACTACTGAGGACTCAACATTTGTGTCTGTTCCAAATTCTTATGTTGACCCCAATCCTCAATGCAACTGTATTTGAGATGGGGCCTCTAAGGGAGTGAGGCCAAGAGCCAAAAGAAGGGGCACCAAGAGCAGTGTGGTGGTACACATCCGTAATCCTACCACTCAAGAGGCACAGGAAGGAGGATGGTGAATTAGAGGCTACATAGTGAGATGCTCTCTCAAAAAAAAGAAAAACAAGGACAAAAACAAAAAAAACCCCAAAACCAAAAACCACCAACTTCCTCTTGAGCACAGAGGAAGGCTTTGTGAGGTCTTAAGACAGAGGGAGAGTGTTGCTGTCTATAAACCAGGAGGAGGCCCCCCATTAGAGACCAAATTAGCACTCTCAGCCTCCAGCACCGTGAGAAATGAACTTCCTTAGCCTGTGTTATTCTGTTATGGTACAGACGCAGACTGTCTAGTGGACTAAACCTCAGTATGAGCTTGGAGGCGGGAGTGTGTCTCGTTTAATGCATCCTATATACCAGGCAAGCTTGGCACATATTGAGGAGGCGCCACAGGCTCATACCTCAGCTCATTTTCTAGTGAGCTTCTTAAACTCTATCAAGGGCAATTTCTTTCATTCCTAAACTAGGAGTGAAGTTGTTTGGGAGGACTAACTAAGATAACATATTAAAAATAGTACAGTACTTAACATTAACAAAACAACACATTCTCTATATTATTATTTCTTGACCAAAGACAATGCTTTGTACCAATAAATTAAAAGCATGAGAATAATACTTTAGAAATGAATAAGAATAATTTTACAAATTTATCCTTTTTGTTGTTGTTGTAGATTTGTTTTTGAGATAGTCTTATTAAGTAGGCCAGTTTGGCATTGAACTCTCAATCCTCCTACCTCAGCCTTCCTAATGCTGGGATTACAGGTATGTACCACATACCTGGCTTAGAAATTTATTCTAAAGAAATAATCAGAGATATAAAAGTCAAAGATTTAGACATAGGTTACTGATGTAGAAAAAAGGATGTATGTGATGTTCAGCAAGAGAACAACTAAGTAAGGGATGTCTGTCTGATGTATCAGGCAGTTGTTAAAACTCATACTGTCAAGGAACATTTTATGACATGGAAACATGCTCCTGATCTAATGCTATGAAAAGGAATACGACTTTGTTTAAGAGCCTTTCTACCCACTGAGCCACTGCATCGTCCCACTTCCCCCTCCCTCCCCTCTACAGCAAGCATAGTCAAGTATACTTATCTTTGTGTACTGGGATAATGGATAAATTAAATGTATACTTACCCCCTCTGAATTTTTCACAATGCTTATGACTAGTTTTATTTTTTTGTTTTAAATTATAATGTTATAAAACGTTTAAATTCAGAAGTAAAAGTGAAATTTCTGCCCCCAAAGCCTTAGCGATTAACACTACTAAGAATTTGATACAGTTGCTTTTCAGAACTTATTATACCTTTAGAATAAATAAAAAAACATTTAAAATGTAATTCAACAAGAAACACCTCTACAACACTTGCATTTTTATGGGTTAGCCTCACAGTTCCCTTTTATCATCTAGCTATGAAAGTGTTAAATTAGAAAAATTTTTTATAATGTCTAATTAAAATGCTAAAGATGACTGATGTGTAGAAAATCCATTATTTACAAAGAAACACTCAGTGAGGAAGATGTACCCTACAGGGTTTAGGCATCTGTCCTCTTGCATGGTCCCTTTGTTGCCTGGGTCTCAGTTACTGCTCATCTAGAGTTGGCTGACTCTCAGAAAGGTGCCATTTTTTCAAGGAGCACCAAAGATTCCTGGAGGAAGGAGAGGGAACACTTTGAAATGTACAATGCTTGTCCCTGACTGGGAGCAGAAATGAAATTAGCAACACGTGCAGCCATGAAGAATCCTTCAGAAAACCAATGAGCCTACGGCAAATGTATACAATATGAACAACAGGAACTGTATCAGACATTTATGTGTGCCTTTATCTATGGGCCTCCAAGAAAGAGGAAGGAGGGAGGGAGGAGGGACAAGCACTTTTGCTGGGATAAAGGAAATGATCCACGGTAAGACCAGGGATGTTTCTTGCCTGGCTGGTGTCCGAGTGGCACTGCCAGTGTGGGTGGCCAGTGCCACCATGGCATCATTCTTCTTACAAATGCAAATGCCATCTAGCTACTGTCTGTATCTTTTGCAAAATCACTCACTTCCTGTCTGTTTCCTAGCTACTGTAACAATCACAAGCTTTAAAAATAGCTTGCCCTATATATTACAGCAGACAGGGCCCAATCTGTGTTGCGGGCCTGATGCCCTCACAGACAAGATTTCAGCAGACTGCATTTTAATTTTTTCAAGAGAATTAGATCTTCAAAACGAATTACGTTGCCCTAATTTATGCCTAAATTTCTGAGTGGGAATGTTACAGTGATTTGTAAGGTCATTTTACAGGCTAGGCAGCTGCAGGCAGAGAAACCGGACTGTCCACAGGAAGTACACTTGTCCTCAGGGACTTGGACACAAACTACTTGGGTTCAACAACTTGGTGTCACACCTACTGTGGGGGCCTGGTGTCAGCTGCGCTCTGGCCAAACTCACTACTTACCTTCTGAACCCAGTTGCCCTCCAGAGGTCCTGATTTCTGAAAACAGCACTCAGCATCCCAATTATCTATGCTTACAATCTTGCTGGAGGTTCCCTATCCATTCTATCTGTGACATCCATTGCTTCCGTCCCTGCCTCTCTCCTTTCAGTATGACTCTTCTGAGTCCAGGCTGGTATCATCTCCCTCACGAACACAGGTTTAACCTTCCATCTTCCTGCCACCAGTCTCTCCCGTAACTGCATGTGAGGGAACAATGGGGCTAGTGTTCTGAAGCACAGCAGGCATACAGTGCTTCCTGGCTCAGAAATCTTCAGCTGCATCCCACTGCCCTAACGATCACTTCTTCCTTGTCTTACTGATCCTAAGCCACGTGCCCACGCTGAGGGTACCTGTCTGGAGAACAAGCCTACATCGCGTGGCTTGCCACTCCAAACTAACCTCGCCATCTCTTTCTCACACCATCCCTTCATATGCCCTTTCCCTCGAACTGAACAGCTCCTCTGATTCAGATGCACGAGGGTTTGCTAAATTTTGCTTTTGCTCAGGCTTTTTCTTCCACCAAAGATGTCCCACCCTAATTTCCATTCACCCTGATGCTACCCCACTTTTCAGTTCCCTGCTCTGAAAGTTAACCTGCCAACCTCACTGATCAAACACCAAAAGCAACTCCCCATAGTCTCCATAATGGACCAATCCTATTTTATCTTTTATCAATTTATTCAGCACCTGGCATGCTGTTACATATAATACTCCTTCTGCTAGATGATAGTCTAGCAGACTATGAGGTAGAGTTCATGTCTGATTCAATTTTTTATTATACCTAAAGAGGCTAGAAAGACAGGAAACTAATATTTATTAAGTATCTAAATTATGCTCCAAACATCACACACACATTATCTCAATTAATCCTCAGTGGTCTCATAAGGTTGTATTCTCATTTTACACAAGAGAGAACCAGGTTTGCAGAGGTTTAGTCACCTTGCCCAAGTTCACACAGCTTGGTTCATAGCCACTTGAACATACTCAAGACCTGTGTTCTTTTATGATACCACTACTCATTAAAATGACCCTCTGTATTTCGTTTGATGCTAAATATATACAGCACATATTAGAAGTTAAATAAATATCCATTGCATGAGAGCGCCCATCATCTTCTGTATGCTAAAAGCAAACTATGCAGTATACCAAATGTAAACTTACTCTTTTAATCATGTCCAAATGGGCCAAAAAAAACCAAGTTTAGCTGACTAGGAACCTGTAGCACCCTCAATAGAGGCTAGGCAACAATATCAAACTCCATCTCACTACAACTGCTAACTTTTTTTTTCAAAGTTACAATTTGTTAAAAACAAACAAACAAACCCAAACACTTGTGAAGGAATCTAGAAACTTGGAGAGACAAGCACCTAGTTAAGAAAGGAGAAAGAAGATGCCTTTTGAGACATCCTAGGAGGTGTGACAAGCCATGTTATCACAATGATAAAACACGTAAGAATTTAGCTCTTCTACACCAAAACAAAAGAAAAAGCAAAATAAAAAACCCCCAAAACCAACAACATTCCTGAGTGACCTGAGGAAGTGATAGTGTGGACTAACTGAAGTGTGTAGCCACACGCACCCCGAGCCTCCAACACCTACACATACCTTTGGAGTGTCGACACGCTCTTCTTCCATAAACGCAGCTTCCGCCTGACAGCTGGACGCTGGAAATGAAAAGGCTTCCACGTTGGATGCCTGTGGGAGGAGGGTAGATCGCATCAGTCTCACGTTTGTTGAGTGCATGGTCACTGGGAGCCCCACAGTCTGCGCCTGCAGGTACGACAAGAATGGACAGTATGACAACATTAATACTCCCTTACAAATACACACTCCTCCTGGAGCAATATGAAGATAAACTTGTTATTGCAACTCCGGGAGAGATTTGATCAAATATGTATCAGGTATAGCTGTAAGTTTGAAGATGCTCAGCAATTGGATATTCTGAAATTGGGTGTACAGAATTTGGTTCCTTGTCCCTTGATGAGGCACAACTTTCACATAGGTGACAAGGAATTAAAGAATGCTCTTTGCTTCAACTCAACAAGCACATATTGTCTCTTTCCTTACATATATGTCTGGGAAAGGTATAAAGAGGACTAGAAAAGCTGCTGTCTGTAGGAGCTCACCACTGAACCAGATATATATTCCCCCACAACTAGTTACAGCACAGGTGGGTGCACTGAACGAGGTGCATGCCTTCTCTCCCTCCTCCCCTTCTCCTTCTCTCTCAGTGGAGGTGGCGTCTTTCTTGGGAAGAGGGAAGCAGCAGTTAGGTGGAGGTGACAGGGACATCCTCCTTTCCTTGAGAGGATGCCCAGTTGAGCATGGCCTGCTGTGCAGGGGAAGGACAAATGCTGACTGCTATACCAGTTCTCATCCTGAAGTCAGTCAACCTATAGAAACCCTGGAGGCTTTTAAGCTCATTGTCCTGTCTCCTTTGTTAACATCTCTAAGTAAACAAACATTACAAACTCTTCTTAAAAAGTCACTAAGAGAATCTTCTTTCTGACAGTTGGCAAAGGACTGATTCTACAGATGAAGCTACTGGATGTTCCTTTCATCTCCAATCCTTCAAAATCAGCAGAGTAACTGATCAGATGTGTTTGAACATAACTGACAGGGACCGAGCACTATGCCGACTGTAAAAGGTCTTTCTTTTTTCTGCTACTTTTTTTCTGAGCATTAAATTCAAACAAACAAAAAAGACAAAATAGTATGAAATTCTAGCTTCTCTCTCAAGACCTGGCTTTGACTTCTTGCTCTATCACTTACTGTGTGACCTTAATCAGGTTACTTAACTTCTCTGAATCTTATTTTCTCCACCTGTAAAAAAGGGCATCATAATACCTACTTCACAGTGAAGTTAGGATTATAAAAGGTAAAAAATACCAAGTCCTCAACTCAGTAATGTTAATTCCTCCTTTTCTTTCTAAAGTCTTAAAAGTGATCCCAAGAACATAGGAATGAGACTATAAAATGAATGCATTTTGTGCTCAGATTCTATGTAATGGTTCTCAGAATTTCAAGGCAATAGTTTTCAAGGATGAGGCCATAGGCTACTGCTACCCTTTATATCTCAATATGCTTGAAATATATTTAGAATATACTCATATTTGGTGTATTCCAAAATTAACATTATTGTAGCTTTAGTCACTTAATTTCTCTAGTCACCAGCTCACAATGTAACATTGAGACTTCCTAGTGAAGTACATTTATTACATTCTTCTTACCCCATCTCCAGCTTTTCTTTCTTTCTTTTTTTTTTTTTTTTTTTTTTGTGCTACTGGGGTTTCAACTCTGTCTTACACTTGCTACACAATTGCTCTACTACTTGGGCCACTCTACTAGCCCTTTTTGTGTTGATTATTTTGGGATAAAAATCTTGGTTTATAACCAGGCTGCCCTGGACCATGATCCTCTACTTGTGTTTTCCTGCATAGCTGGGATGACAGGCACAAGTCACTGCACCTGGCCACTGGTTGAGATAGGGGGGTCTTATGAACATTTTGCCCAGGCTGGCCTTGAACTGTGATGCTTCTGATCGCTGCCTCCTGAGTAGCTAGGATTATAGATATGAGCCACCATGCCTGGCTCCAGCATCAGCTTTCAATCAGAGTACAGAACTAAAGTTTGATTTCCATTTCCCAAATTTATTAAAGCACTCCATCTATATGAAAGGAAAGAAAGTATTACCTGAAGACACCGCACTGGGAATGAGATGCACACATTGTAACTACGAATGTTGCCCCTTCTCAGTCCTCCCTCTAACTAGCTCTGATTCTTTAAATGGCAGGAGTGTGATGTGCCAGATCAAGCACAGCACATTTTCCTTGACTACTTTTACATCTGCCCTGGACTAAACAACAAAGGACCATGAACTTGGTAAGGACAGAGAAATAACAATTTGTTGTGACATTTACTTCAGAGGAAATAGGATGGTAGATTTTAGGGACTTTTTAGAAGTCTTGCAATCACCGAGAACTGATGAAGTCTTTCTGGGGATGTGGCTCAGTGACAGAGCATTTGCATAGCCTGCACAAGGCTCTGGGTTCCATCCCCAACACCACAAAAAAATAGTAAGGTGTAAACATTCAATGGCACGCTCAGCAGCACACAGCTGGCCAGAGAGCACGCTGCTGATCGATAAACAGACGCTGCTAATATGCCAAGGAAGTAGGTGTCACCAGCTTCTTTAACTAGCACGATCATGAACTTATGAGCATGTCCAACCATTGTGACCACTTCTTAGACCATACTTATTGCCTTGAATCTCCTCTGACTTTGTTTTCCAGACCATTAAAATAAAAATAATTTTCTTTCCTATGGGAAGATTGTTACTTTTCCAATAGGCACACACTTGTTATGGGCTGAATCGTGTCTTCCCAAAATTCCTAAGTTGCAGCCCTATCCTTCAATGCAAATGTTTTGGAGCAGGGTTGTTAAGAAGATAATTAAGGTTAAATTAGGTCATAAGGGTGAGGCTCCAATCCAAGAGGGTAAGACAAAGTTTTGCCATGTAGCCCAGGCTAGCCTTGAACTCATGATCCTCCTGTCTCAGACTCCTGAGTGCTAGGATTATAGGTATATGCCACCATGTGCGGCTAACATTCTTATAAGAGGAGGAAGAGACACCAGAGATCTCTCCACAACTGACAGAGGAAATGCCATGTAGGGGCACAGTGAAAAGGCACCCATCTGCTAGTCAGGAAGAGAGCCTGTGCCAGAAATCAACTCTGACCTTGCATTTCCCGCCTTCAGCACTGTGAGAACATAGTTTCTCTTGTCTCAGCCATCCAGTCTGGCATTCTGTTATGGCAGCCCGAGCAAACTAGTACAATGCTCTGTCCTATAGTTATGGAGGGCAACATCTAAATCAGTAATGAAAGAACTGAAATGAGTGTTCCATTCTTTTCTGCTTACAGCTGATGTAAACTTGGAATGGAAGAACTGTTAAAAAGTAGTGGTTAGAGTTGATGAGAAAAAGGCAAAACATATTTTTTCTAAATAGTTGCCTGAAGTCAAGCAGATGCAATACTTATGGCATGTTATATAGCAAATAGAAGTACTCTAAACCTATTTCAGATGGGAATAAATTCTAAGTAACAATAATGTGAACTTGATCACCAGACTAGATTCCTTAGAGCAGACTGTACCCTAGTACCTCAGAAGCCTCAGTGGCTGGACTGTGCCTGACAGATGAGTACTCAATTTTCTGAACTCAAAACTCCTCCTACAGATGAACCAACTGTTGCTCAGTAACAACTTTATTAAGATTAATAATAATAATTAATAGCATAATCTTATGCTATTTCTATATGGAACTTAATGTCTGCATGATTCTACAGTTCGTGTGCTCTTGGTATTGGAGTGTGCTGTTTCCTCAGTGTCTTATTCTGTAATAAGAAATTCAGATCTTCCTTCTCTCTCTTTTTAAAAATAGAACATTAAAGAATTGAAACAAGAAGCCTGTACTAAAACTTTAAGAATATTTATATCCACAAACTTTTATAAACCACTTCCACACAAAAATGTGTGGAAGAGAGAAGGGTCATTTCCTTCAGCTATAGTGCCTCCTGTTTAGCATCCAGAAGGTCCTCAAGACAAGCTGGCGGATGAGCCTTGAAGACTACCATTTGAATTAAGCACATTTGAGTTTACAGTAACTAGGATTCTATGATGATCCGTGCCATCGTAAGGTGAAAAGAACTCATGTGTGCTTGACACTGAAAAACAAAGCCAACAGGCATAGAAAGCCATGTTGTCCACTGAGACCTCAGGCTGAACTCAACACAATTTGGGCTACCTAAGCAGATTAGCTTAAATTCTAGATAGGAAAGGATATCTTGTACACTAATACATGTACATGCCCCGGAGCAATTCTGTATTAATCCCATGCCACTCCCTCACTTGTGTAATGTTTAAGAAGAATCAAGACACTTGGTGAGGAAAGCCTGCTGCACTGGGGTTCCTGGCTTCCTACCCTTCTATCTGGCCGACTACACAGGTGGGCAGGGCACCAATGCATCTCACTATTACTACTCCAGCTTATCAATTCCCATTTTCTCTCCCACTCTGTCTGCTTGAAAGCAAACCATTCATCTTTTAAGGTCTCCAAGTGTTTAGAGATACTCTAACCCAAATATCTGGAACTATATTGATACATTATTTGACTCACATTTGTATCAATACTACATGATTTTGTATATAAACAAAATATACAAGTTTTCTATTTAACCAACATTTTATTTTCCTTGTTTTCATATGTTCTGTATAAGCCAATGCAAATTTTTCTTATAATCTTACAAATTTTGTAAAATTGCCAAAGAAATACAAAGTAAATATTCTGCTTTCAATTTCACTTTGAACAAAGAGAGTGCTCATGGGAGTAGATAGGAATCCTAACGCACAGGAACAAGTCACTCTTCTCAGTTTCTGTATAGATGACTCCTCAGATCCAGCCTCTCTCCTTGGATCCAGGTCCACATTCCTTCCTGGCAACCCAGCTTCTGCTACCCCTGTGCCCTGGTGTTCAGGCCCCAGAAACAGAGCTGTCTATAACTCACTGTTGTCCCTTTCTCCCCACAATTTATTTATTACTTTATAATATAAAACAAATGCTTAGCTAGGGGTGTGGCTCAAGTGGTAGAGCACCTGCCTGGCAAGTATGAGGTCCTGAGTTCAAACTCCAGTACTGCCCAAAAAACTCCCCCAAACCCAAAAAACAAACACAAACAAATATAGCACTGTGTGCCAGACACAGTTTTAGATGCTTCATAAATATTAACCAATTTTACTGTCACAGATTCTTATTATTACCCCCATTTTATACTTGATACTGTGCAGTACTGACCCTCTGAACCATTGCCAAGTTCATATGGGATCTAACTGTGAAATGGTTCACATTCTTGCCCCTTCATTTCTGCTTCCACCATCACCACATTAGTTTAAGTCTTCAGCATTTCTTTTCTCAATTACTATAATAATCTCTTAACTGCTCTTCCAAATTTCTTCTCTTTCCTATCCAATCCATCCTTCCCAATACTCTCAGATTAATTAGCTTAAAGAATGGATATAATTCTGTAACTTTCCTGCTTAATAGCCTTCACTGGTTCCTTATTGCTTCTTGAATTATAAGTAAACTCTTTACCTTGACATTCTGAGCTCTTCACAATATGGCTTCAACTTACCAATCCAACTTTTACTTCCTTACACTTCAGTTGAAGAGGGCTAATTGGAACAAGGTCTATGATTGCCCATGTGAACACTTCTGCTCATCTCATGCTGCTTCTTCTGACTACCCATAATGTCTTCAAGTACTGCCTCTCCTCAGCAAAGTCCCACACATCTGCAAAAATGTCTTAAATGCCATCTCTCCTGTGAAGACTTTCCCAATCAGATGTGCCTCTCTCCCCTTACCCTTAGCTCTTCAATAGCCCTCATCTTCCCCAAATAGCCCTCATCTTCCCCGATTTTCAATGATGATTACAATCTTGTCTTATTTTGTTTCTACAGTGTGATGTCTGAGGGCAATGACTGTGTTCCACACATCTTAACACCTAGATGGCCTAATAAAAGAAGTTTGCATTTGGTAAATCTGCCATAAAATTTTGTTAAATGGAAAAAAGTTGTTAAATGAGACTGAATGTACAGGCTGGTTACATTAATTCTTGATATAAGCAAATGATTAAAAATATCTCAAAGAAAAAAATTTGAAATAAATTGAATTCATAAAAATAAGAAGGTGCTACAACATTTGAGACTCCAGTAAATGACTGAGGCAGAAAATTTCCAGAAAAACTGGCTGTGGAAGATGAAATCCTAACCCTTTGCAATACACAATGAAAGATGTGTCAAACATGAGAAGAGACACACACACAGATGAGACTATTGGCTAATGGGGCATTACCTTGGCAACTGTTTGTTCTGCAATGGTGCTAGGCCGCCGTTGGCGACCATCAAGCCTCTGCTCCACAGGAAAACTACTTCTATGTGACTTTAGGCGCTCCACCAACAAGAAGTAAATGGCAGCAAAGTGGTTATAGCTCTTGTTCTGCAAAGACTAAAAGAGAAACCAAGTGCTGAAGGTAGAGAACAATACACCAATCCAATGACCCACATCTTTCTTTAAAAGGGGAGGAGACAGAGGAATCATATGTTCTTAAAAAGTAAAGTAACAAAGTATGCTTCAAAATGAAACCTCTTCTAGAATTTAGATGGGAAGGCATAAAATTTCCAGTCTCTAGGATTAGTTACATAAAGGGTGATACCTTTAAATGATGTGCCTAGCCCTTTTACATTATCAGGTTCCATTTATTTTCTGGATTAAGAGAAAACACCATCACTATCTCAGGCAGACATTCCCAATGCTGCCATATGCTCCCATCTCCTAGCTGTTACTATGGTTCAAGGTCTGGAAGCACTCTAAGCCCAGAAGTCCTAATTCCATTGCCTAAACTCACATTCAAATCATTGAAAACTCTGAAATGAAAGACTAAAGACTTGGGGGAACTTTCTGATAATTATTTTGGGCTAGAGAATGACATCTGGATGCTAGATGGAGAGACACTGTGTCTCGGTTCTTAAGTAATTTTTTCTCTTGTTTTTGCAGTCGCACCCTTTTTGAAGCCTTGAAAATAAACTCACTTCCTAAACTTTCACATCTCTAGCCTGCCAGCTTTCTCAGGATGCTAATGCAACAGAGAAACAACTGCTCCATCAGCTTTTAGTTTGCATGGAAGGTGTGCAGGATACAATGGATGCAGAACAGCCTCAGCAAAATCCACCGGCCAGCTGGACCACATACATAGCTACTGACATGGATGTATTTCACTGTCAAGAATGGAAAAATGGGGCTGGCAGAGTGGCTCAAATGGTAGACCAACTGTCTACAATGGTGCTAGGTCACCGTTGGTGCCCATCAAGCCTCTGCTCCATAGTTTAAACCCAAGTACCATCAAAACCCACAAAACAGACCAAAGAATGGAAAAACAACCCTGGGCGCAGGAGAATGCTCGTTTAGCTTAGTTTATAGCTACAAGGCAGCACAACCTAGAGCCTTGACCTTTCACGGCAGACAAGAGGCATTTGATACTCTTTCTTGTTATGTGTCTTTTTTAATGCACTGTATTTTGCCTCCACTGTTACGAAGGTATTAAAAGTATGTATAGCCTATAAATATGCTAACTAGTACAGGATAACAACAAAAGTCAAGAGGAACTTTCCAGGTTCAAGTCCTTCTTAGTTCTATGACCCCCTAAGATTTCCAGATCAAGACCCCATCTATTTCTGCCTTCTTAGTTTCTCTGGTTCACAATCTAAATCCACTGGCTTTCTTAAATTTGATGCCTTCATTTCTTGTTCCCTGTTTGACCCACAGCCTTGTTCTACACAAACTAGTTTAGTGCTGATCTGAAACTTCATGCTTCATCTTGGAAGTTACTTTCTACCTTTGTACTTGTTAAGCTTCTGTCCTTGCCACTTCTGAATCCTCTATAAGCCCTTTCCCTTGAACTTTTGGCAGATGGAGCAAAGGAAGGAATTTAGACACTGAATAAAGGCAAATATAGAGTCTGATGTAATCGTAAGAGAACACTGAGCAGTAAGCCAACATACTGGGGAGGCATGTGCTAAAAGACCAAGATGACAGGTGTGAGTGTGAAATTTCTAGGTACCAAGTGCAGAAGAAACCTAACACATCTTTAGTCAAATCTGATCACTTTACCTCAATTGTTTTCTGCTGATCTATTCCAAGGCTGTGCATCAATCGCAGAACCTGTTCATTAAATTCCCCGATGGATGGCTCATTTTCTTGCTCTTGTGGGTAGAGAACAGGTCTCTGCACAGGGACTTCTATGAGCATCCACTTATGCTCTTTAATCTGAGCTATGGTTAGCCGTTTAGATGGGTCAAGGACCAGCATTCTTCGAATAAGGTGCTCACAATCTGCAGAAAACACAGTATCACAAAAGTCGTAAATCCCCTTGCAAGTCCGGATTATTTGTTTCGCTCATGTGAGTGATTCTGTACAATAGTGTTCATCTTTGTAGCCTCCACTGGAAAGCAGAGGACAAATCAGTAAATGAATACAAGAAAGGTATTTATTTGTCAACTTCACATGGGTGACAAATACTTGAGAAAAATAGGATATGGGTCTGATTCTGTGCTAAACGAGCCTTTGTACTGAATTGCTTCACTAAAAATACCTAGTCGCAGACTTAGATTTCCATTAAAAACAAACAACTAAGCCTCACTCCTCAACAAGCAAATAACAAATTGATCCAGTCACATCTAAGGTTGATTTGGTAAGGCGAGAGCCCTCCAGTCAGCTGTCATTTTTCCTATCAGTGCCATTGTGACAAATATCTGTGATACATTATTTACTTCTGATTACACTCAGAAAAACTACACTGCTGCAACTTGGAGGCGACACCAGGTTCTTTCCTCTCACACAGTAACCTCAGAGCACCATGCCCAGTGCTCTGTACACAGTTACCTTTACAATACCCCTGGGGTAGGATCTATTGCTATTTCCATCTTACAGATGAGGAATTGAGATACAGGGAAGGGATATGATTTGTCAAGGCCATATGGCCAGAAAGTGGTGGACTCAGGACTCCAAGCATTATTTCTTTTATTAGTAGAAACAAAAGAGGAAAGGCTGAAAACCAGAAACAAAACTAAGGAGTAAATTTAACTGTCACTTATGCAACAACCCAATACAGAATAAGCAGAGATTATGACATCTTAACTTATTCATCAGAGTTCTGCCAGTGGCTTAATTTTAAAAATTTTAATTGTGCAAAATCTATTTCATACTTAGAGTAAAATGGTTGTGAGCAGGTATCTATGAAGTGCTTCTGTAAGTCTAAAATAAACCTGGACCATTTATAGACCCAGAGTGAATAGGAAGACTTGCTGCTCTTTCTCTGGGAAACTTCTGTTCTCAGTTACAAGTAGGAAGGCTGGAGCTTATCTCCTCTCCATGGAGGGTGGTGGTTGTTTCTATGGCTTTTTAAATGACTCAGTCATTTTCTCTGGTACCCAACCTGTCTGGAAAAGGAAAGTTTTGCCTAGGCATTTCATCTGCAAAGCACAGTTAGTAAAATGAACAGCTTCTTACCTTCTGACATGAAATATGGAATCCGGAATCTTCCTTCCAAAACCCTCTGCCTCAAAATTGGAAGTGTCGGTCCATCAAAAGGCAGTGCACCACAGACAAGCACATAAAGAACAACTCCCATACTCTAAGGAAGAAAACAGTGCAGTCACTTTCCAGGGAGAACTTGAAACACTATTTTTCCTTAATGGTCCCAAGGCTCTTGAAATAACATGGACTGAAAAGTTCCTGTCCAAAATTATTTTCTCAGAATTTGAAAAAAAATCTTATAGTAACAATAAGTATAAGAAATACCAAATGATCTGAATTTGATCATTCTGCTTACTGCTTAACTTTAAATTATTGCTAATATTAGGATGGTAATGCCTGTCCCTAGAAATTCTTCTTTGGGGTCCATTTCAAAATGTTCTGATGATTATAGCCCAGTGGATGGGGAAAGTACAAAATAATGCTTATGTGCTGAGTACCAGGAGCTTCTAAGATGGACCAGACTTCCAAGTGTTATCATTACAGACACATTTAACACAGCAAAGCAAAGCAATACCCAAATGTCCAGCTGTGGTCCTTCATACTGCTGCCCTTCAAAGACTTCTGGGGCTGCATAAGGGGGGCTGCCACACCACGTTGCCAGCAGTTCACCACTTTTAAAGAAATTTCCAAAACCGAAATCTATTGGGATGGAAATAAATGTTACTTTCATCTATGCTCTCAGACTACACTGCATTTCTCTGTAAAAATTTTATAGCATGTTTTATTAACAACGTCACTACTATTCACTCTGTGAGGACTGGGATGACATCCATCTTGTGATGTCCCTAGTCATTAGCACAATGACCAGCAAGCAGTAAGCACTTAATAAATATTGAATGAAGGTATATGTGAGTTGAGATTTTTCTCTCAAACAGTGTGAGAGACTGAAAAAAGACTTTAACCATGTGCGAGTGTGTGTGTGTGATTTTTTTTTTTGAGACAGGATCTTGGTATGTAGCCCATGCTGGCCTTGAACTCTTGCTCTTCCTGTTTCAGCCTCCCCATTGCTAGAATTACGGGAATACTCTACCATACTTGGTTCTCAAACCACATATTTTGAAGGCTAAAAGAAAATCCATTAGTGTGGATAACCATTGTGAATTTGATAACCATAGGATTTAAATTACTTGATTAGTAAAGAGCTTTTTATCGTATATGGTTTGTAAGGAAGGAAACAAATACATAAACATGGCTGAGTGACTAGCTGTTCTTAACTCCAAGGTATCAAGATATAGAACCTTGAGCAACTGAGTGTAGATTTTCCCAAGCAGTAACTCTTCACGTGCTGATCTACACATTCTGGTGTAGCCACCTACCTATGTGTACAGCTTGTTAACATACGATGGCAATATGGCCCAGCCACAGGCCACCTACCACCACTATCACTACCCACTTGTGGAACGCAGTAGTGTTTTATGTCAAAACAGTTGATATCCTTCCCTTTATTATCTTGATCCTACTGAATCTACAGCTTCTGTTTACAGAATGTACTCTGCATGTGTTGTACTCAAAACGCCTTCAACAGTCACAGAAAACTTCACTGACTTTTGGTATAAATTCAAGTTTACTCTTTTGTTATGTCTTTCTACAGTCATGTTCTTGCTGAAGAAACAAATTCCTATTATACTGAAAGTTATACTCACACTATCTTATGTTGGGAACTGACAGGAACTGGCTCTACAGCAAGCCAGTGCACAGCACTGAATGCAACAGTAAGATTTAAGGAACACCCCAAAAGGGACTGAATCCAGTCTCCATTGCCAGAGACACTGGCTTTGGGACTTGGGTCAGGGTTTGTGAGCCTTGGTTCTCCATTTGTAAAACTTCAACAATAAACAGACCTAGTCAGCAGGCTGTTGTGTAGGGCCAATGTGTCAGTGTAAACTCACACTTTGCTTGTACCTTGAGACTATGCATGCATCTGGACCTCAGACAAACGCTCTCTCAATTCAGGCAAAACATTCTCTAGGCTTGCTGACATGAGGCCTGGTGGAAGGCAGTAGTAGCAGTAATAACTAATCCCATTATCCAGGGTCACCAAGTCACCAAGTTAGGGAGAACTAGAGTTGACTTTCAGTTTTGTCACTTTCTAGCTTCAAGTCCAGGGAAGTTATTTAACTTCCTGAATCTTAGTTTCTAATCTCTACATGTGAGATTAGCCCCTCCAGACAGGATGTGGTGAGGATTAAATGAGATGAAGGAGGTAAACTGCCAGCACTCCTCTGTGAAACATTACCAACTACTGCCTTTTAGAGGAAAGGTCCTGAAGAAATACACAGGAGGGGCAGAGAAAGTGTAGTGCAAATCTAAGGCTTTGGAGAGCAGCTCTGTGGACTAGGAGGCACTACTTCAGCCCTACACCCCTTTCCAAAATGAAAGCCCTTATCTTTTCCACTTAACCACTCCTATCACCTCGTAACCCATATGTATACATAGAGATACACTCCCAAATGATTCCAAGAAATAGATAATCAAATATGGTTTAAGGAGGAAAAGGTTAATTTCACTCAAGAAAAGCCCAGAGAGTGCCTGAAATAGGTATGATAATGGCTGCAATTTCAACAACAATCACAGGATGGGTTTTTAGTATATGTAAGTTGAGGAGACTCTCCAAATAGCATCATAAAGTTTCAGTGTCTCAAAGAGCCATGACAGAGTTACTTCATTCTGAACTTCCCTATACCGTGGTGACATGAACTCAAAAGGGTGATTGAACCAGGGCTGTTTAGAAGCAGACTAGCCATCATCATCATCACTGGCCTTGGGATTTCTTATTGGTATACTTCATAGCAAGAGAGTAAGAACAAGAGCTAGGGAAGTATGATGTCTGTCATAGTCCGGTTTCAAACTTGGCTTTAGAGATCTAAGAGAAAGCTTCCTGATCACCCATAAGAAAAATGGTACTGACCAGGCATTTCTAGAAAGTTTCTGAGAAAAATCTAGATAGCTGAGAAAAATAGGAACTTGAGACTGTAGGAACATTAAAAGAAATGCTAAGACTGGATGTGGTAGCATATGCCTGTAATCCCAGGTACTTGGGAGATGGTGATAGGAGGATCGAGGTTCTGGGCAAAAGCACATGACTGTATCTGAAAAACAAACTAATGCAAAAAGGACTGGGAGTATGGCTCAAGTGGTAGAGTGTTTGCCTATCAAGAGCAAGGCCCACAACTTCAATTCCCTGCACTATCAAAAGATAAAAAACAAAAAAAAAAACCACTGAAACCTGGCTTCCTCAGCTATTACAGTATGATCTATGTAGAGGTCTTCTAATTTCTTCAAAGCACTTCAAACTTGTATTTGTAAACACCTGATGAATGGGTGAAGAACACTCTGGAGTCAGGCAGATTTGGGATCAGATACTGGGTTTTCTACTTAGGCAGGTAATCCTGGGCAAGTTACTTCATTTCCTAGAGCCTTGGTTTTATCATTTGCAAAATGGGGACACTATTTACAGTTCGTGAAGTTGTTGTAAGTACTGATATAAGTAGACAAATATACAATGCTACTGAAATACAGTAGGAAGTCAGCAAATGGCAATGATTGCAGGCCATTGTTGTCATCATTATTTTACACGTCTTCCCCATCAGACTAAATTCCTTGAGAGTGAAGTAGCTGATAGACTACTCTCCCAGTCCCACAGCATGCTGTCTACAGATACTAGCTGCTCAATAAAGGTTTGCTGCGGAATATTTTGTCCATATCACTCTTTTATTCTTTTTTTTTTTTTTTCAGTGCTGGGGATTGAACCCAGGGCCTCATGCATGCAAGACAAGGCTGCCCCATTGGGCTACAACTCAGTCCAAATCCTTATCTCTTTTTAAAGCACTCCTCTATGTGTTACATGGTGATCTAAGCTCTTTGAAGATTTCTTCCTAATAACTCTGAGGAAGCCCTACTTTAGGATGTGGAGCAGAAAGGTAAGCGCCTTGCCAGAGTTAACTATTATGCTGCAAAACTGGAATAGAAGCCTGGCTTGACTTCAGAGCCCTCACTGTTAACCACCACCTTTACGTCCTTCCCTGCCACAATGATTTATAGCTTTTTTTGAGCAAGTTAATAATTGTCAAGTTTAAGAAGTGGTAATGGGAAGGTACTTAAAAATAAAAGTCTTTTTTATTTCTTCACAGGACTCTGGATACTTTTCTTCACTCACAACTACAGCTTTCTGCTAAACGCATGTAGTGAAATAAGGGGCAAGTGAGTGAAGTAGGAAAGTTCGGGATGTTTCTTATCACCATTTATTAAAATGGAATGGGCTATACAGTTGTCCTTTTTTATCAGTGGGGTATTCCAAGAACCGCCCCCATAGGTACCAAATCCACAGATGTGCAAACCCCTCATATAAGATGGTATCGTATTTGCATACATTTTACACATACCCTCCTGTACACTTTACATCATCTCTGGATTATAATACCTAATACAATATAAATGCTATGCAAATAACTGCTATACTGTTTAGGGTATAGTGACAAGAAAAAAAACCTGTGCAGGGTCAGTACTGATGCAACCTTTTCCAATCCCAGTTACACAGTACCCATCATCAACAACATAACAATTTTTTTTGGAAGGGAACATTTTCCATCTGTGGTTGGTTGAATCCCAGGGTGTGGACTCCACAGATATGAAGAGCTGGCTATGTTCATTTCATCACACTAACAAAATCCATCCATCCCTTCATTAAACACTTGAGTATCACACAGGTGTTAACCACTGCAGAAACAGAAGAGAGCATCACTATGCCATTGGGAAGCACTACGAAAACAACCACTCGAGCATTCCTTTCTCTAGGTAAGGCTTAATCTGCCTGGCCATGCTGGAGAGAAAATCTTTCTGATTTAATTCTATGATCTGCAAGGTAACATCTAAACTTGTGGCTACTCTGTCATAAAATTTATGCCATGCAATCTTGGGTCCACTTAATATTTTTAACATCTTATTTTGAAATACTTTTAGATTTCCAGAAGCGTTAACAACAGTTAGGTGTTAACATGTGATATAACTATAGTACAAAACTAAGAAAAGTAACACTGATTTAAAACTATTAATAAGCCACAGTTTTTGATTTCATGTTTTTTCCTGTGCCCTCAGAAGGTGATCACATTAGAAGCTATCTTAACATCCTTATCAAGTTATAATTAAGATGTTTACAGATCAAATGACAGAAATATATACTCCCATTTATTTGAGAAATCTATATTCTTTTTAAAAGTGCATACTGTGCTAAACAGATACATTTTGTTCTTTTTGTGTCAAGATGGTACATACTCCCATGATTCTAAGGCATGCCTCTGAGGTTTTACTCCCACAATGGTTTTGAGATTTCTTGATCTATCTGTACTTTCTCACCCACTTTTTGTATGGGCTGAATGTTTATAGAAGACAGGATTTGGGCTACAGTCTTTAACCACAGATCAGTTACTGACTCTCATGGAAATCAACTTGGCCTCAAAAGCTGAGTTCTGTAAGTACTTCTAATCTAACCAATAAGACCAAGGGTCTACTTGACCACTTACTGGAACTACTATTACTGCTTTCAGTTCTGCTTTTTGAAAGTTGACTGACTGACCTTTATTTCCCTGATAACAAAAACCATTATTACTGTCATCAATAAATATATAAATTACCAGTGCCCA